ACCCAGCCCTGCACGTTGCTGGAGGAGGAGCAGACAGGGAGGAGGTGGCAACACTCCCGAGGGATGGCCACCATGAGACTGTCAAGAAACGAGTGTTCACCTCCCATTCGTGGGGCCCAGAAAGGCAGCATGCGCGCACGTGCACACACGCGCAAGCATATGCACTCCTTCCCAACCAGTAGGTCTGTCTCCTGAGTTTTCAGAATTGGCTGTAGGGCTGGGAAAGGAGCAGCAGGCAGCCATGGTTCAAGTCCTGCTGTCCTAGGCTTCCACACTCTGAAAGCTCAGTCTGTTGAGCTCCCTGAAGCCTCAAATTACTCAACTGTGAAATGGGTTCTCACCCTCTTCCTGGGATGTGTACGCAGGTATTGCTGGCCGTTCAACCTGTGTCCTCTGCTCTGCCTAGGTGACTTCCCTATGGGGCACCTGTACGCTGCACTAAGCCAGGTATATATGACAGATGGTCCAGGAAAACCAAAAGTAAAGAAACAAAGGATTTTTTTTAAAGATGCATTTACTTTTATTGGTAAGGTAAATTCTACAGTAAGGAGAGACAGAAAGAGATATCTTCCATCTGCTGGTCCACTCCCCAAAGGGTCACAATGGCTGGAGCTGAGCCAATCCAAAACCAGGAGCCTATAGCTTCTTCCAGATCTCCTGCACAGGTACAGGGACCCAAGGACTTGAATCATGCTCTGCTGCTTTCCCAGGCCATTAGCAGGGAATTGGAAGGGAAGTGGAGCGTCTGGGACACGATGCTCCCTTCTTGCCTGCCATGATCTGTGAATTAAAAGAAGAGCTTGATTCATCCCTGGCACTTAGTAGCTGTCAGTGGTAGGCGACTGTTCCATGGTGCTGAGTGACCTTGAGTAAGATGCACCTCTTAGTTTCCTCATCTCTGAAATTTACTTGTTGGGGTCAGCACTGTGGTCCAATAGATTAAGCATCCAGCTTCGGTGCCAGCATCCCATACAGGTGCCTGTTCAATTCGTGGCTGCTCTGCTTCTGAGTCTGCTGAAGTGCTTGAGAAAGCAGCGGAAGATGGCCCAAGTACCTGGACCCCTGTACCTTCTTGGGAGGGCTCCTGGCTTCGTGGGAGGGCTCCTGGCTTCAGCCTGGCCAGCTTCAACTGTTGCAACCATTTGGGAGGTGCACTGGTGGAAAATTCTGTCTCTCGCTCTCTTTGTGTGTGTGTGTGTGTGTGTTAAATGGAGGGAGCTATCTCCCTCTATCTCTGAACTTTCAGATAAATCAAACTTCTAAAAATGTAATAAAATCTTTAAAAATGTAAAGGAAAAAACAAATAAAATTTGGTTGCTCCTTTGGACTGATTGCTTTGTTCTACCAATCATTGTAAATGGTCATGTTGGGGATCGGCAGTACAGAAAGTTAAGCAGCTGCTCGCAGCACTGGCATCCCATATGGGTGGGATTTGTGCCTTGGGTATCCCAATCACATCCCCTTTCCCTACTGAGACAGCAGTGCTGGAAAATCCTCACATTCTTCCCCCAACTTGCTCCTTTTCAAGGAAAAATAAGTGCTTTAAGTTAGTCCTTATGTCATGTCATGAACACTTTTAAAAATGGGGGGGGGGGAGGTTTACTTTATTTCTTTGAAAGGCAGAATTATATAGATAGATTGTCCAATCTCTGGTTCATTCTCCAGTTGGTTGCAACGGTTATGGCGGAGCCAGGCCCAATACCAGGAGCTTCATCCAGGTTTCCTACATGAGTGGTAGGGGTCTCAGTTCTTAGGCCATCTTTCCACTGCTTTTCCAGGCATGTTAGAAGGGAGTTGTGGGACAGCTGAAACTCGAATCAGTGCCCATGTGAGAGGCTGGTGTCAGCAGCTAAGGCTTGACCCTTGGAGCCACAAAGTTGCCACTGAGAAATTCGAATTTTCTAGCAGGGCCTCATTTTGCTTCACCCTGGGCCCTGCCAGTTATACTGCTGACCTGGTTAAACACAGCTGTTGGCAGGTGGGAGGGTAGCGCAGGAGGGCAGTCAATGAACACTTCAAAGGAGGGTCCATTGGACAGCCTGGAGGAAGCTGAGCAGTTGAGCCTGGCTGTGCCAGCCAGGGGTGGGGGGCTGTGCCAGAATGCGCAGTGTGGGACCTGGTGTGGTCTCCGTGAGTGTGTGTGTGTGTACATGTAGGAGCACCTGACAAGGTGCACGTGCGAGAGCATGAGGTGGAGTACGTGCACAGGTGAGTGTGCTGTTTGTGCAGCACAAGCAGGAGCAGGGGCCATGCTGGGAACGTGCAAGCGCGGTGGGCGGGAGTGTGTGGCGTGGGGGGAGGCGGCTGGGGACAGAGTCACAGGGCAGCTTCACAAATATTTGCCGAGCACCTGCTCAGTGCCAGGCGCCATGCAAGGTGCGGAGATGAGTAAGCCCAGCATTTGCCCCGGGGGCGCTGGGAGCCCAGCGAGAGAGGGAGAGATGTGTAAACAGACAGCTGGCCCAGGCAGCGGGCTGAGCTCAGCCGGTCAGGGACAACGCCCCCCTCACTACACCAGGGAGGATCTGCCAAGCTGCTGCTCCCTGCCCCCAGGAAGGCATGGGAAAGTGAGGATTTGGGGAACCGCTCCACACATACACCCCAGGGTGTCAGGGAGGGTGGGAGATCCAGGGTAGCCAGCCCAGCTCCACCCCCCACCACAGGCACACCCAAACATGGGAGGGGTGACCTCCTCCTGACCTGCCCAGCAACACGCCCCAATCCCACAGGAGTTGATAAGAGGTGACCAGCAGCTTGGAGCAGGATATAAACAGCTCAGTCTAGGACACACCCGAGCGGACCCAGGGAAGGCAGAAACAGGGGACACTTCTCAGTGAAGGGTGGAGGGCGTCCACTTGGGGTCCTAGGCTGCTGAGTTGGGATGCAGTGTCTGACTCCCCGCAGTGGGGGAGAGCAATGTCTAGGAGGGGTGGCGGTGTAGCAGGTAATGCTGGGGCGGGTCCCAGCCCTGGTGCTGCAGCCTGGGCAGTGACGCTGGCCCCAGTCTGTCTCCACTCTCTCTTCTGGCTGCTGACCTTGGGCCAGTCCCTGACCTCATCAGTGAAATGGGGACACCCAGTGCTGTGCAAGGGAGGCCAGCGGTATGGACTTGGTGAGATAGCGCCTGGGGAGAGCACCTTGTAAACCTCCAGCGGGGGGTGCAACGGTCAGTGTATGTGAAGCCCTGCGTGCACCTTCTCCTTGGGACTGCAAAGGAGGGTCAGGGATGGGGGCAAGCCCATGGCAGGTGCTGGAGGCAAGACTGGGTAAGCCCCTTAGGGATGTGAGTGTAACTTCGAAGGATTTTATGGCAAGGCTAAGGGGCTGCCAAAGGTTATAGGCTACTAAGCAGCCTGCATAGCGGGCAGCTAGTTGGCTATGTCTGGAGCGAAGTCCATGGCTGTGCCCACTGTCCCCCTGGGGCCGACTGCTCCATTTCAGAAGGGAAACATGAGGACAACTTGTCACTCCAAAGCTACAGAAGTCCCTGGGTTCTCCCTCCACCCTGGGGCTTTCCCCACTCTCTTCACACCATTCCTTGCTCCTTCAGACCAAGAACCCCCAAGTCCCCCAACACACACTCACTCTGCCAGCTTCACCCACTCCGAGTCTCCCAGCACTTCAGTGTTTTCAACTCCAGAGGCAGTTTTGACTGGACTATCTTACCTGACACTTGAGCCTTCAGGACCTTTCCTCTAAGAATATCAGTAACCCTCCAGGCAGCTCCAATCAAGAGCACTCCCCCTAAAAAGCTAGACAGAACCAAGGGCTGGCACTGCGGTGTGGAGTAAAGTTGTCATCTGTGACACAGGCATCACACATGAGTGCCAGTTCGTACCCCGGCTGCTCCACTTCCAATCCAGCTCCCTGCCAAGGCGCTTGGGAAAGCAGGTGAAGACAGCCCAAGTGCTGGATGGATGGAGTTCCTGGCTCCTGGCTTCAGCCTTGGCCCAGCCCTGGCCACAGCAGCCACTTGGGGAGTAAAGCAGCGGATGGAGGATTTCTGTCTCTCCTTCTCTCTGTAACTCTGCATAGAAAATGAAAAGATAGTATCTTTAAAAGACAAGAAAAAAAAAAAAGAAGAAGAAACTGGGGTTACCTATGATGCCAGCATCCCATATGGGTACCAGTTTAGGTCCCCAGTGCTCCACTTCTTCTCCTGCTCCCTGCTAATGGCCTGGGAAAGCAGCTGAGGAAGGCCCAAGTGTTTGGGTGAAGTGTTTTCTGTCCCTCCCTCGCTGGAACTCCATCTTTCAAATAAATAAATCTTTGGGGGAAAAAAGAAAAAGAAAACATCCTCTCTAAAACGTAGACCCACCGCCACTGAAACCGAGCCATGGTTCTGATACCCACTAAGGATTACGTCCGTCTGAGCCCTGAGCCAGAAGCCCCCAGGAAGGACCTCACTCTGCTTGTATGAAAATCTCTCCTTGGGAAAGAATGAGGTGAAGTGAGCCAGGGTCCAGCGTGGTGCTGGGCACCAAGCCAGGCTGTCAAGGCACACCAGCTCCTCCCAGCACTCTTCCTCTCCATTTTGTTTTGTTTTTCCATTCACAAGATCCTAACTCTGATTTCATGTCAGACACGCACGCTAGGATTTGTATTACAGATACTCAGCTCACGGCCAACTTGGCTGGAGGCAAATCACCTACTCCACCAAGGCCAGGCTTGCAATTCTAGACTTCTTCGAGAACGGCGGGTCCAAACCCCACCCTTACAGGAGGAAGCAGCCCCAAAGAGGACAGCCTGGGTCAAGGTCACCGGCAGCCCCTGCAACACACATCTTTACCTTTGTGAATTCCCGCGGACGTCCCAGTCCTGACCGGCCTCACCTGCTGCCAGCTGCCAGATGAAGCCTCCCACATACAAGAAACCCACTGCTCACATGCACCTGGCCCTGCCGTGGAGTAGCCACTCCCTGCTCTCTCCAACCTCACATTCCAGGATGCAGGGAGCTGAGACAAAACTAGAAAAAGCCCAGAAGGCACTTTATTGGAGGTTTCTGCCTCCATTCAGGGGGAAAAGGATCACCCCGCCCCTCATTGGCCCAGCAGGGGTAAGGGGGCACAGAACAGTTAATCTGGCCACCAGCACTCAGGGTGGGAGAGGAGTGGGGAGGGGAGAGGGAATATTCTAGAAAAAATAGATCTCTATGTACATCTGACATATTTATAGCACATAAATTAGGGAGTGCTCTGACCCTGCCTGTGGTGCCCATGCACGGAGCAGAGAAGGAGGCCGGTGCAGAAAAGCAGGTGTTGGTGGTAGAGCAGGCTGCCCGGTCCTCTCTGTCCCCATGCTCCTGGGGGGCCTGCCCCAGCCTCTACGGCTCAGCCAGGCGTCTGCGGGAGGGAGGTGTTGTCTGCAGCCAACTAGCATCAGAATCAGGTGCAAGGAGCTGCCAGTCCCAGGAACCACCACTTTCAAGGTTGTAGAGTCAGCAGCCGAGGCGCCGCGTCAAACCCCAGGGCTTGTAATTCCAAGAGGGCAGGGAGGAGCCGGTAGCAGCTCATTCCTCCCCGTGGGATGTAGCTTCTCTCCACAGCACAGCCGGGAGTGTGTCCAAGGAGAGGCCGCTCGCTCGCCTGGCCCGCCTGTGCCCCACCCTAGGATGGGGGCTACAGGCCCAGAGTCTGAGTTTGGTCCCGGGTCTAGCTCAGACCCTCAGTTCCGATTCTCCATGACCTCATCCTCCTTCCAGCCACTGGAGTTTTTGCCAAACTTGTAGACAAGCCGCCGGCCATCGACCCGCTCCAGAATCTCCCGTTTGTAGTAGTACCTGGGCGGAAGGAAAGTGGTCAGAGCTGCCTAGGCAGGAAGCCCATGGGCCCAGAATCCTCTTCCTTAGCCTGCACTTCTCTTCTCTGACTTCTCCCCACCCCCGCAATGGCCCCTAATTGTCTCTGGTGCAGCTACTCCTAACCTTGCTATATCCCATGGCTTGTCATGGATGGTGCGATTTTAGGGCTGGGACACCCTGGAACCTGGGAGCAAACACAGGCCTGGTGGCAGCTTCAACAGCAAGCAGGCCAAACTCTGGCATGGGCCTGGCAAAATGCCCTTTCCACCATCCTAATAGGGCCGTCCAGGCGCCCAAGGGCACAGAGCCGCATGAGCTTTACCCTTGGCTGGCCTGCTCGCATCTTGTCCATGGCCGGCTTCGTTGGCCCGGGGCAGGGATCGGTCCACCCATCTCACTCTCACTCTCCCGCATGGCAGGCTGCAGACTCAGCCCACCCACAGGCTCGGCACCCACCTCATGGCCCGGCTCAGCTTCTCGTAGGTCATGTTGCTGTTCTTCTTCTTCTGCCCCCACAGCTGGGCCACAGCCTCGGAACGCAGGAACTTGAAGACGCCCTCATGCCGGTTCTCCCACTTCATGAGGCCCTCATTGAGCTCTGGGTGGATGAGGATGTCCCGGATAAATTCCCACAGGTGGGTGCCCCTGGGAGCTGCAAAGGTCACATGCCAGTGATCAGTCAGCAGTCCAGGGGACAGGCACCAGGGCCCTCACCCTGCTGGCCAATGCCCAGAGCATGGTGCAGGCCCTCCCAGCAAGCCCAGCCATGCCCTCACTTCAGACCTACTGTTACCGGGTGGGGAGCTGGGGAAGCTACGTCTCCCCTATGACCAGGGAGCCGCAGGAAGGTAGGCATGATGTGGGGTGTGGGGATTCCCCCACAAGTCACTATATACTGGGACAACAGACAACAGTGCCAGTGCTGGTAGGGCATAGTCCAGCAGGGACCGTAGCAATGAGCGCAACAAGTGCGTGGGCCTGGGCAGGTATGGCCGGAGTGGCAGCAAGCCCAGCTTGGGGCTGGGAACCCGCATACTATGCAACAACTCCTCCTCAAGATAAACTAAGGCCAGGGGCGCCCATGTAAGAAGTACACAGTCCAGAAAGACCTTGGGCGGCCTCCCAGGCAGTGTGCACAGTTGCTGGAGCACACAATGCCAAGACCAGTGGGGACAGCAGGACAGGGCAGCGTTCAGCAGGCCAAGACTCAGCCCTCCCAGGCAGCCTGCATTCAGGCCTCCAGGGTTCTCTAGGGACACCCTCACACACATATGGACAAACCACCACTGAGTGTGTCCTAGCAGGCCAAGACAATGGATCTCTGGGCCGGGCCCTGGCCCAGGTGGCGAGCAGTGAGTGCCCTAGGGGCTGGCCCTGCTAGCCCTCCAGGGTCCCCACTCACCATGCTTGCTCTTCTGGCCTTCCAGGCACTCCCAATACTCTTTGCTCAGCTTCCGGGGCCGGCCACGTTTCCGCTTCCCGTGTTTGGGGTCCCCTTTCTTACAGTCAGGAAAGCCATCTGGAGGGAGGTAGGACGAGACAGAGACAGGGTGAGGGGCACAGGAGAGGAAGTCTTTGGGAAGGCCTCTTGGGCACAGGCAGCCCCCAGCCACTCACCTTGCGGGAAGAGCTTGCTGTCTGGGGGATCCAGGTCCACGTCGCTCCCACCGGAGTCTGAGGAGTGGGAGCCCTGGGAGACGCCGGTCCCTGGGGGATGGGAATAGGGGGCATGGAGTGAGTCCCCAGCCATCCCAACTACAGTTGCAGGCTCTCACTCAGGCTGCCCAGGAGCCAGGGACACCCAGAAGAAAAGAGGCCAAGGCCGAGCAGGCAGGCAGGCTCACCTGCGGTGGAGACGTCAGAACTTCCAGGGGAGGGGGCTCCGGCAGCCCCATAGCTGCTGGGGTAATAGGGGCTGGTCTGGCAGCCGTCGTCCAGCAGCTCTTGTGCAAAGGGGCTGCCCTGGTCTGGGAAGAGGAGGCCAGAGCTCAGGTCAGGGCTTGGCGACCCCACTGGGCTCCTGGCCTTCTCGGTCTCGGGAGGAAGGAAGGGACTCTCACCAAAGGGGCCCGGGTCAGCCAGGGCCTCCTGGAAGGCCGTGCCGTCCTTCTCCAGCAGCTCGATGATCCAGCCCAGCTCGTCCGAGGCGCTGGAGGCTGATGAGGGAGGGAGGGAAGGAGAGAAGGTCACACTCCCTCCCTCCTCCCTCCGGGCTTTCACTCCCTGCTCAGGACCTTGTCTGGCTTTACTCAACCTGTGGCGCCAGCACCACCCCCCACCTGCCCACAGCACCCAGGAGCCCAGGAGCGTTGGACTTACTGAGGTCCCGCAGCTGGGCATGAAGCTGGTCCCCCAAGGGCCCAAAGACCAGCCGCAGCTCCTCGAGGGCGCAACTGCAGAGCGTGGCGCCGTCCATGTCACAGCGTGAGAAGTCGATGGCGCTGGCGTCGTACTTGTTCTTCTCCACTTGGTAGCTGATCCAGTCCAGGACCTGCGCCTTCGACCACAGCTGGGGCTGCTCACCCAGCCAGCTGGCCTTCTCTGCAGGACCCAGGCACAACGGCAATCAGCCTGCAGTGGCCTACACTGCACGACCCCCAGCCGGCCACTTCCCTGGGCCATTGGAATTGGCCTGGGGCATCTCTAGTCACCCTTCCCCCATCTTTCCCGTAGGCCCTTTGGAGGTCTCCTCCTACCCTTTAGGGCACACCTGTCCCTCCCAGGCAGTACCCACCTGTACCATCCAGTGACATCTGGGGGTTGCTCAGGGTCAGCACCAAATCGTCGGCCGGGAAGGGTGCGGCCGAGGGCACGGAGGCCAGGGCGGGGTCCTCGGCGCTGTACATGGCATTGAAGTAGTTGCTGAACACGTTGCTTATTTCACAGGTTGCAGCCATGAGGCCCCCTGGGAAGAAGGGACATGTGGGGTGAGGAGGCCACCCTTCCCCGCTCCTCCTTTCTGGCAGGAAGATCGTCCAGCCTTGGCGGGTCTGCCTTTCCAAGCACGAAACCAGGATTTCTGAGCAGCAGTGTGACCACAAGACACCCCCTCCCCTGCTCCCTGCTGGGTCTTTGATCAGGAGGAGCGAAGTCACTCTCTCCCTCTCATCAACAATCTCTATGCTGGGACCCTCTGCCCTCCACCCTCCGACGCACGCGCGCGCGCACACACACACACGCACACCCCGTGCCCATCGGCCTACGTGCCGTTGGAACACTCCAGACCAGAGCAGGAGGTTCTTAGACCTCTCCCCAGTTCCTTGAGGCCTGGGCTAGGGAGCAGGCCAGGTGAGGGGCGGGGGCGTCCTACCTGAGTGGCGGGCGGGGACAAGGCAGGCAGGCAGCTTGGGAGGCGGCGGGCGGGAGAGAAAGCCGCCGAAAGCCGCCGGGCGGCTAGCAGCTCCGCCAGGTAACACTGAGGAGTGTGGCCAGCGCGCTCCCCCACCCCGCCCTAAATAGAGCCGGGCCGGAGCTCCTCCCTGTGCCGGGACCTTTATAGTGTGTCCCTATCGGTAACCTGAGCTGGTGGCTCATTGGACGGAGGGGATTTCCTGGCCTTCAGACTGGGCTCCTGGCCCCAGGTGATTTGCATATCCCATGCCACTTGGCCCGGATCCTGGCGGGCGGTGCTGGGAAATCAAGCCCGGCTGGTTTAATGATTGTCGGACTCTGTCATCCCGCACCCTCTGGGGCTGGGCACCGGGCGAGGGCCTGGCCAGGTGGCGGGAACGTCGCGGGAACATCGCGGGAGTGGGCATCTGTGCCTTCCTCCGCCCTTGGGCTCAGGAAATTCCTGCCAGCGGCCAGGCTGGGGGACGGGCTAGGGAAGCAGAAAGAAGGCCAGGTTTGGGGAACAGGGTGGGCAGGGACCCGAACCCCTGGCTGATTGGGTCGGAAACGGCTCTGAACCCTAAATGCAGAGAGTCGGGGTCCAAGAGGTCCATCAGGGAGTTAAGTCACTGGGGTTTAAGGATCTTCCCCAGTACGCAGGAGCCCAGGCACGGGCTGGGAGAAAGGCTCGATGCCAATGGGCACTGCTCATCATGAACGACCTGGCCTCGCGGCCCACCCAAGCAGCCCCTACTCAAGCAGCAGAGGCCTCGTCTTCTTCCCTTGCGGCCGGATGGAGCGCTCCGGGTCCGAAGCTGCTGGAGGTACTGCGACCCACGTGTGGATTCGTCTATCCGGCAGCTCTGCTAATCTTGGGGTCACTAGGCCTAGGTTACCCCGCTGCTGCCCTCTAGTGATCGGAAGCCCAAACACCCAGGACGCGCCGATCCAGGGAGAGAAGGCACACAGGCCGTTGTGGACGCGGCTAGCAGGCGTCTTGGGTCAGTGGAGCACACTGTCTTGTGTCGTGTCCACACACATGTCTCGCCAGTCACCAACGGTTTACAGATGAGAAGGTGACAGTTCAGAGGGAGCTGGTTGCCTGTGTAAGTCATGCAAAGGCTGGCTCAGCGGGGGGGGGGGGTGGGGGGGGTTGGGTGTGGTAGCTGGAGCTGGATCTCCCCAGGTTAACACCGCTTGCTAGAACCCATGGCCAGCGCCCTGAAGGCCACAACGGTGTCCTCTGCACGTTGCAGCTCAGTCTCTTGACCAGGTGACCAGTGGGGAGTGAATCCCGAGGTCTGCAAGACCTTTACCATCAGTGAAGGTAAAACCCTTGGGACAGGAATGGTCTGGGTTGGCTAATCAATCATCTAGAATGCGGGATTCTCATCTCTCTCTCCTCCCCACTCCCCGGTCCAGGCCCCAAGCCTGGGTGGTTTTAGAATTCCTCCAATAAAAGGTGACCCACCCCGGAGCGCCCCTGTAGCCTGAGGATAAACAAGGTCCTTCTCTGAGCTCTGCTTCCCAGTCTCCCTGCTGTCTCCAAGTCCCGGGACACAATGTAAGGGGTGGCCAGGGGTCCTCTCCACTGGGCCAGGGGTGGCAGGAGAGCTTGCAGCTGTAGGTAAGATCCTCCCCGCCCTTCAGGGGGCCTCCCCGCTGGAGCCGGAGGCGGGCACACCCTCTCCCACTCACTCGCCCTGGAATGTGGGAGAACCGGCTTCCAGCCCCGGGCTTGGCACGTGCTCCAGCCGGACTCCAGCCCTGCCCTGGAGAGTGCAGCTGGTTGAGGAGGAGCATAATGGGCAGCCAGCTCCCTGCCTGCATGGAGCTTCTTCGCGGGAGACACCTTAGCCTAGCACCTTCCCTCCTAGGGTCAGTGCCAGCAGCCCCACTCTGGAATGGATGCAGTTAATGCCTTGGCAGGATGGTGGTGGGCAGTGGCCAGGAGAGCACATCCCCCCTCCCCTCCACAAAAGGCACATCCAGGACTGTGCAGAGGTCCAGGCAGGAACTGAGGCAGGGTAGGTCTGCCCGGACAGCCAAGGCCACTGATAGTTCCAGAACCCTTGTTCGCTTCCCTGCGACCATGGCTGTCTATGGGCTGGTGGATGTTGCAGGGTTTCTGGAGGAGCCTCCACGCTGCTCAGAGCCCTCCCCAACTGCCCATGGTGCTCCCGCTGGTAGCGAAGCTCAGAGGCTGCAGGTCGCTGGCACTGTCGCTGTCCCGCAGCGACAGACTTGGTGCACGGAGCCGATGATAACACGCGTAGACCCTGACTGATGGTCAAAGCCGAAGTTTATTAGGGGCATCAGACTTTATACACTGAGAGTCCGTACTGTTTCCCTCTCTTGATTGGAATTCCTTTTGTTTTGTATATTACACCAGGTGTTCTCATTTACATGCTGTTTATACCAAAGGTAGCCATTTGGTTGTTGTCATGCAAATACTGTCCAATGAACTGCAAACCTGTGCTCGCTGACTTTCCAGGCTCACAATGTCCTCCTACATGGCACCACCCTGCCCTTGCTCAGATTGACAACCAGTGGACTCAGGTGCTCCTCCCTGACAACTGTGCAAGCGACAGAGCGCCAGGAACATGCCTTCCTGCACAGCTGGCTCAGAGGCACCCTGTAACAATGAAGGACCATCTGTTTTCATACCTTTGCCATCCCTCCCCAAAGCCCATTCCCACTCCCCACCTGCCAACTGACTGCGGCAAAAAGCTCCTGGGTGGGGAGGAGGTGGAAGAAAACCCAAGACAGAACCTTCCCTAGTGAGGGAAAGATGAACAGGACCATGCAGCCAACACAGTGACTGGAACGCCATTTCTGACCTCAAAGAGCCGGGTTATGTTTATTACATATACTCATATATGAAGGCTTATTCATTTGTCTGAAATACAGGACAGAGCATACTCCACTTGCTGGTCCACTCTCCAAACAGCTGCAATATTCAGTGCTGCACCATGCCAAAGCCAGGAACCAGAAACTCCACTCCACTCCACAAAGATCTCCCACATGGTTGACAGGTGCTCAAACACTTGGTTCTCTCTCGTCGCCTTCTGAGATGCACTAGCAGGGAGCTGAATCAGAAGCCTAACAGCCAGGACTCTAACCCATGCTCCCCTATTTGATGCCAGCATTGTGGGAAACAGCTGGCCCCTGTCATATATGTATTTATTTTCCATATACACATGGAGGGCCCCTCACCCCCACCGCATCCTTCCAGCTGGAGAAAGAAACCATTCATTCAGCTCCAGCTCCAACTCAGTTGTTTTTATTTTTAAGCTTTAAAAACATTTAAATGATACTAGCATGTGAATCTTCTGTATTATATTTGAAGAATCTGCAAAAAAAAAGGGAGGGGGGAGTAGGAAAAGTCCCCTCTTGCTTCTGAGCGCATGTCCACAGCTATACTGAGCAGGACGTGGATCACAGCTTGGGGCTGCATGTGCCAGGGAGGTCCTCCCAGGGGTCGAACCACACTGGCAGATCTGGGCAGTTAATTAGAAAGCCCACGATGGAGTGAGAGGTGGGGGCAGAACACTATGCCTGCCCATCCTCTAGCTGCTCTTCGGTGCCAGGATCTGCTGGACGTAGTGGGCCACATTGCTGTGGAGCTGCAAAGCAGTGGCTGCAAAGGTCTCTTGGGCGAGGGTCCTGGCCGCCTCGCTGCCGCCCATCATGGCATGGTATAGCGGGAGGGTATACTTCTGCTTCCCCTGCAAGACACACACAGGCCTGCACATGGACCCACAGCCCCTGGTCCCGGCCCCCAGCAGCAGGCTAGGACTGAGTCGTGTCCTGGCTGCTCCGTTTCTGATCCAGCTCCCTGCAAATGCACCTGGGAAGGGGACAGAAGATAGACCGAGTCCATGGGCCTCTGCCGGCCACATTTAACACATGGACAAAGTTCCAAACTCCTGGCTTCACCATTTGGGCTACTAGTAAACCAATGGGCAAAAGATTCTCTCTCTTTCTCTCTGTTCTAATTCAGCATCCTCTCTGGGGGGTCAGAGACAGCTCTCCATAGGCACACCCCCAGGGTATCACAGGGAGGTCTACAAAACGAATGAGACAGACTGGCTCCGATGGACTCTAGGTGAGCCAGCAAGTGGCCAACAGGCATCTGGAACCTCAGCCTTGAGCTTCACTCCCTCTTTTTTCCTCTTTTACTTATTTGAAAGGCAGTATAACAGGAAGAGATAAGAGAAAGATATCTTCCATCTACTGGTTTACTCTCCAGTTGGCCACAATGGCCAGAGCTGGGCTGGTCCAAAACAAGGAGCCAGGAGCTTCTTCTGGGTCTCCCACATTGGTGCAGGGAACCCAAGGACTTGGGCCGTCTTCTGCTGCCTTCCCAGGCGGTTAGCAAGGAGCTGGATGGGGAAATAGAGCATCTGGGACTCCAACCGATGCTGGTGTAGGCTTACCTCATTCTGCTATCCATCTCCTTCTTGAATTTGCCCTCAATTCACACTCTCCTCCCCTGGTCCAAGTCAGCTTGGACCTCTTCTTCTCCCCAAGCCTAGAGGCTTCCCCTTCCCAGGGAAGTGACCACTCAGACTAACAGGGTCCTTGGGGAGGTCCCCAAATTCCCCATCCCAGGTAGTTGCTCAGACCAGCAAGGCACACCGCCAAGGAGGCAAAGGACGCCCAGCACTGCGGCTCAGGCAGGGTCACCCACCTGGCTCTGCAGGAATTCCTTCACCTTCCAGAAGTCCTCCTGGTGGTCATTTTTAAGGACGATCTGGCCCCAACGCAGCCGCAATTCCGCATTCTGGCCATTGGAGATCTTAGGGTACATCTCCCCAAGTTTTTTCACATTCCCTGGATGAAAGGAAAGAACAAGGTTGTTGCCCACAGCAGGGGGCAGAGAAGCCCCATCTGCAGGCCCTGGAAAGGTACCAAGAAGCCATCTCAAGGACACCCCCACTCGGCCACTCCTTCTGTCAGGCTTACATGCTAGCATGCAGCCTTCCTTCCTTCCTTCTTCTTTATTCCAAATGTCCACACAATCACTGGGCCAGACTGAAGTGAGGAGCCCAGCTCAGGGGTGCCAGGGACGCCTACCTGAGTTCTACCTAGCAGGCTGGAATTGGAAGCCAAGGTAGGAGTCCAGACACACCAATACAGGACACAGGCATCTTAGCTGCTACACCAAATACCCACCCCTGAAATGGAAATGCTCTCTGCTCACAGTTCCATCTTTTTTTCCCCTCAGTTATTGGAAAGGCAACCAGAGAGAGATCTTCCATCTGCTGGTTTACCTCCTAAATGGCTGCAACAACCATGCTGAAGCCAGGTGCTTCTTCCAGGTCTCCCACACGACCACAGAGCCAAAGCACTTGGGTCAACTATCGCTGCTCTCCCAGACCATTAGCAGGAGGCTAGATGGGAAGTGGAGCAGGCAGACATAAACCAGCATGCTTGTGGGATGCCATACCCATAGGTGATATATTTACCTGCTAGGGCAAGACACCGGCCTCCTGCTTGTCATTCTGCTTGGATTAAAGCATGTATACTGCTCTTAAAAACCCTGTGGCCAGGGCCAGTGCGATGACTCAATTGGTTAATCCTCTGCCTGTAAGTGCCACCATCCCATATGGGCACTGGTTCTAGCCTTGGCTTTTCCATTTCTCATCTAGCTCCCTGCTTGTGGCCTAGGAAAACAGTGGAGAGTGATCCAAAGCCTTAGGACCCTGCACCCCTGTGAGAGACTCAGGAAGTTCTTGGTTCCTGGCTTCAGATCACACCTGCTCAGCTCCAGCCATTATGGCTATCTGGGAAGTAAACTAGCAGGTGGAAGATCTCTTTCTGTCTCTCTCCTTATTTCTGTAAAGTCTGCCTTTTCAATAAAAATAAATATTTTTTCAAAAATTAAAACAGCCAGGTGTACACAGCCAGTGCACAGGGGTGCACCTGCATAGCTGAGGGTCCCTCGTGGGCTGCTAGCTGCCTAAGGGCAGGAGCACAGCTGCTTCTGAACCTTCAACAGGCTCAAGGTACAGCTCTGCCCACTAGGACAGGTGCAGCCCGTGGAAGCCACAGTGCCCTTTGCTCACCGGTAGGGAGAGGCGACCTCTGGAGGATCTGGTCCAGGAAGTAGACCAGCTGGTAGGTCTCCCAGGCTGACACGGCCACAGCTGTGATGGCCTGCATATCCAGCTGCTCATTGGCCCATAGCTGGGCCAGCTCCTCAGCAGGCTTCATGAGAGACTCCCCTGGAGAGAGGTCTGGGAGGTAGGGGGGCCAGCCAGGCGTGTTCAGCCAACGATCAAACTCGAATCCTGTTGGGTGTAAGAGAGAAGTGGGGTAGGATTCTCTGGCCACAGCTAAGCAATTCTCAAGACCTCCATCTGCTGGTCCCTTCATCCCTGACTCTTCCCCATGCATCTGCTTGTTCAACAGGGTCCCAGTTATGTCGGCGTCTACAGCCGTCTTAGGAAAACTACACTGGGCTCTCCTTGGTTTCATCTACTACTGCAGAGCAGAGCAGACAGAGGTTGTCCTAGCTGCGTTAAACTCAGGTTCTGGAACAGGCACTGTGGGGACAGCAGGTTAAGCTGCTGCCTGTGAGGCTGGCATCCTACGGGGTGCTGGTTTGAGTGCAGGCCGTTTCATTTCCAATCCAGATCCCTTGGGAGAACAGCGGAAGATGACCCACATTCTTGAGCTCCGGCCACCCACATGGGAGATTCAGGAATTCTGTTGGAAGGACATTGTGAATCTTTGCCAGTGTGGAGCCGGAGCTATCAGAATTTAAGAATTTTACCCAGAAAAATGGTGAAAAGGCCCGAAGGATAGAAGATATTCATGTTGGATTTTGGATGACATGGTCTTTAATTAAAGCCATTATTATACTTTTAGAAGGGGAACCTGCAAGAAACTTCTCTAAGAAGAAACGCTGTCAAAATGTAGCTAAAAAAAATGCCTCACAATATAGATGAGGAAGAAAGAGAAAGAAAACCTGTGAGAGGTCCCCCAAAGAGGAGAGGCCACTGCAACATGGCTAAAAAAGAAACGCCTCATAGTACAGATGAGGAGGATGAAAAAGTGGAACCCGTGAGAGGCTTTCCTAACAGGAGACGCCACCATGATGTGGCTAAAAAAGAAATGGCTTATATTACAGATGAAGAAGATGAAAAAGAACGTGTGAGAGACCCTCCTAACAGGAGATGCCACTGTAACACAGCTAAAAGAGAAAGGCCTTATACTACAGGTGTGGAAATTAGAAAAAGAAAACTCAGGAGAGACGCCCCCAATGGGAGATGCCACTGTATTATGGCTAGAAGATAAAAGAAAACTTCCCATGTTAAAACAACAAAATTGCAGCATTTCTCGGTCTTCTAGTGAGGAAAATGAGAATGGGATAAAAGAATATATTAGCCCACACCGTGTTGCCTTAAATGTGATCAAGGACATGGCCCAAGTGCTTGCTATTCCCCAGACACCTCATGAAGTACGATCACTTTTCCCCAGTTATACTTAGCCAAGAAAACAATCAACCTGTATATAAGAATCTAGACTTTAACACCATCACAGCTTTTAAAAAAGCTTGCACATCCTATGGACCCACTTCTTCATATGTGTGGAGAATATTTAAAAGGCTGGGGCCAGGGACCAAACTGGATTCCCCATAATTCAGAAGTAATAGCAAAAAAGAGGGCTTTTTCCTTCTCAACGTTTACAGTGGAAAATGTGAAGGAGTGATATGGCTAAGGAAAAATTGTGATCCTTAGGAGCATCAGGTCAACAACTCCCAGGGGGGACAATTGACTTATGACATGTTGGTTGGAGATGGCAGTGGATTACTCAGAGCAGCAAACACAACTACCTCAAGCTGTGCTCACCCATGAGATGCAGTGCTGAAGGTCTAGGAGAAAATTGAAAGTGGGTCTGAATTTGCAGGTAGTTACAGAGTCATACAGAGGGCTAGAGAAGCTTCTGCTGATTTTATAGCACGTTTGCCTCCATAGAAAAATAAGTTAAGAGAGACAGCACTAGGAAATTGTTATTAAAGCAACTGGCCTAAGATAAAGCCAATGAAGACCGCCAGGCAGCAATTCATCCTATAAAAGAGACAGATCTTATGGGTTATCAGAAAACCTGCTACAACACAGGGACATTTAAACATCGTGCCCGCCTAGCAGCACCAGAAGCCTTTGCTATTCAAAAGCAAATGAATGCTAAATGTTATAATTGTGGCAAGCCTGGACACCTCAGAAAATAATGCCAAGTGCTTCCTTTAACTCAAAAGTACCATGCTAATACTTCTAACAGTCACTCCCCTGGAATATGTCCTAAAAGCCTCTGAGGCCGGCACTGGACAAAATAATGTAAATCCAAATTTGATCATGATGTCTGATGTCTGTGGCCAGGAAACTCCTGGCAGGGCCAGCCCCTGGTCCCAAAACATTCAGAGGTTTACAAAACAGTAATCTCAAAAAAAAAAAAAAAAAAAAAGAGAGAGAGACTAAAAACAAAACAAACTTTTAAAGAAAAAACAAAACAGCAATATCCTACTCAATTTGTGTTTTCAGAGTTACAAATTTAAAACCGTTACTGTCTCAATACCCCATTTGTGCTCCTCAACCTGCAGGCATAAATCCTTGGAGGACAAAATTCTAATCAATTGTAGCAAATGCATGCTATTCATATATCACTTTTTCCTAGACAGCCATTCTTAACCAAAATTTTAGACTAAGGTATCTTTATGTTCTCTGTCTCAGTAAGTTTCATTGTTTAAAATTAACAAGTTATGTTTGTGCTTTCAAAGTATTTGAGTGATGGCATTATATCAGTAATTAAATGTAACCTATATTATACCATTTTTAAAAGTTCCTATTTCTATCAGATATTTTAAGCCTTCTTGGCATCCTTGACCAGGCATCCAAAAATTCAAAAATTTCAACTTTGGGGATTTGGATATTTCTATCTATCGAGGCCTCTGGAAATATCAAAGGATTTATCTCTCATTTTGTAGACAACTGATTCGGCTATTTGTATTATATTTTAAAACACTGTCAATGCCAAGAGGTACAAGATTTTGCTACATTAAAAATGTTGCTACAGATGTGCAAAAAATTATAGAAGTATAATTTTAATTTGTGTACTTTCAAAAGTTCCAGGGCAAAGTGGAGCCCAACGATGGAATGTGGACAAAGAAGCCAGTAAAAGGTGAATGTTTGCTGTTTTGTTAATGGGTCCAGGTTGTTCACTGCACAGGAATATTTTATCTTGCTGAGGAAGCTGGAATACAGGTCTTCCGTTTAACAGATGGATTTCACAGTTATGACCATTTCTACCCACCAAGGTTTTGATTCAGACTGGATTATCACCATGACTTTTCACTTGCTAATTTCCAGTAGATAATGACATCAATCTGGCATGATTTTACTTTTGCCCAGAAACTTTTAGGGGTCCCAGTCAGAGGAGAGTGGCCATCCTGAGCTCCAGAACCTGGCTCGGTCACCTAGGGAGGTCACCATGATGGTTAACACGGCCCCAGCAGCCGAGCCAGGAAGCCTGGCTCATAGGATTAACACTGACTTTTACTCATAACATCTAGTTGGTTTCTGCTCTGAGTACTCATACAGAACTCAAGAAGGCTGGAGCGTTTGAGTCATGGTCCGTACAAGGCATCATTATGGTCCATCAGGTTTCTGAATTGTGTGTAGTCGCCACTTGTCTGGATTATATGTAGTTGTCATGTATCTGTCTTGATCTCTGTTAAAACTGTTTGATTCTACGTGTGTGGTGCGCAGATAAAACTGCTAATCAGAACTCTGCATTGACAGTTTCCTGGGGTGTATATGTATTTTGCGTAAGAAAAGGGGCTGTCATTTTTCAGTAACACTCCTTGGCTTCAATGCTCCCGGGATTGATCAAGGAATGATCTCACAAAAAATTTTAGGTTTATGCCATTCTTCCAGCTAGAGCTACCTTAGGGAAATCTCAAAATTGTTACATGCATTACTCTATGTGTTTGCTGGTCAGGAAATGTTATACCTTTTACTTCTTGTGAACTAGCTTGTTTCTGTAACAGAAAAAATTATTTAAAAGGGTAAATGTGCAGGCGGAGACTGGATCTCTCTGTATTTCTCCCATTCTCTCTGTACCTCTGCCTTTCAAATAAACAAATATTTTAAAACGAAAACAAATTCATGTTCTCCTCCCAGCCATCACATCAGCCCTGGACACAAGCCCCAGGGCTGGAGCGCCAGGCTGCCTGGGCTCCCAGCTCTGCCCTGAATGAGGGGGCAGTGCCTCACAGAGTTCTTTCTGCTCTGCCTGCAAACTTGGGGACGGTGGGGAGAGGTGATGTCGCCCCACCCTGGCTGAGGATTAAATGAGCAAATGTGCACTGAAAGTCTAGCATGGCTGCCCAGCGTGTTGTAAGCATCAACTCTCGCTAGCTATAGTGCTGCATGACCTTGAAAAGCAAGGCGGGCCTCCAGCCCAGCAACAGTGGGCATTACCAAAGTCTGACTGAGTCCAGCTGTCAGAAGGAGCTGACTTGATCAAACCGTCCTGAGAGTGACTCAGAGGCCACTGCAGGAACCAGGGACCAGGTCCTTGGTCTCATGGAAGGCCCAACCCACAGAAGTCTACTCTCCCCTCCGATGGGGCAGGGCGTCTCTGGTTGAATGGGGGAAGCAAGGATGTGAACATCTCTGTTTAAATATGTCTTTCACACTTACCTGAGAGATGGAAAGAGATAGAGAGACAGGGAGATTTGCCATGCACTTATCTACACTCTACCCCAGTCCGACTAGGGAGTTGGGGACTCAGTGTAGGTCTCCCACACGGACGGCAGGCACCCAATCACTCGAGGACCACCTGCAGCCTCCCAGGGAGCTGGTGTCAGCAGCTGCAGCTGGATACAGTGACCCACGTGGATGTCTTCATCAGCCCAGATGGGAGACTAATGCCCGCCCCAGGGCCACGACCCAAAGGCAAGGACCACAGCCCCTACTACCACCCAAAACGGTGAGTTTCAGTTTAGGACAGGGATGCAGCAGTAACTCTGGGTAGAGCTAAAGGTCTCGTTGAACGCGAGGACAAATAAGAAGAGCTACTAAGGCACAGGCGTGGTGGGTAACCCCAACTCTCCCCGACCCCACAGCCTCCCTCGTCCAGGAGCCTATGGGCCAGCCCTCCCCTCTGCTCCCCTGGAATGCAGTCCACTCTCTTCTCCTTCAGCTCAGGGAAATACTCCAAGTAGAACTCCAGGAAGTCATCGGCTAAGATGCTTTGGAACTTGTACTCATCCACGTAGGCCTGCGAGAAGGGAGGCACTCTATTAGCCCCTGCCAGGGGATCCCTGGGCCCTGGCCTCGGGCTCTCCCCTGATCCCTTACCTCTTGTGCCCCCTGCCTCCACCCTTGCTCTCTGGCCCAGCGCTTTATCTGCTCCTCTTCCTTCTCCCCTCATCCGAGGGTTGACTGTACCTTGAGAAACTGGTCAAACCGATCCTGATCACCCACCAGGTAGGCCAGGTATGAGACAAAGCAGAAACCTTTCTCATAGGGCGTCTCATTGTAGGTATCATCTGGGTCCACACCTAGCCAGAAGAAAGCAGACGGCCTCTGAGTCCCTGCGACCCTTCGTGGGCATCATCCCCTGGGGCCAGGTTCAAAGACAGGTTCTGGGTGAGCCAGGGGTCCCACCACCCAGGAACACAAGGTCTGGCTCTCCAGAGGCATCCCAGCCAGTGGCGTCCCAGCCAGTGGCATCCCAGCCACTGCAGCGTCTCCTCACTCTGAGCAATGTGCTGTGTTCAAGGAGGGTACCTCAACTCTGAGCACTGAGTGCCCAGGCTGACATCTTCCCCATGGGTCACTCCCAGGCTCAGCCTCCTGTCCCCTCCCAGGACCATGTCCAGAACAAAGGCAGCCCTCAGAGCAGGCAAGTGCACTCTCACAGTCCAACAGCAGCTCCCAGGGACCTGAGGTTCAACTGCACACGAAGGTGTCACATTTAATCACATGTCAGAGCTCAAGAAAAACATTAGGAAGCCAAGAGCTCTGAACTCAGGACTGGGACGCAGGTCAGAGCTGCAGGTGTACGACCAACCATGGACAAGGTCCACGGTTCATGCTCTGCAGGAACTGACCAAAGACAGGCCACACGCACACATGTAAAGCAAGAGTGGCTAAGAACTGCAGGGAGCCATGCAGAATTGCTAGCCTGGACAGCTGTGTGGCTCAGGTGCAGGCACCCTGGCAATGGTCGGATAGGGGTCAGGAGCTGGGCTGGGCTGGGCTGGGCTGGGCAGCCCTTCCCACCTCCTCCCTATCCCAAGCATGTATAATGGCACAGCCTGCAAAGTGAAGTTGGACCTGGCTCGATCTTCACTCGGAGCTTATTCAGTGGGTTCTCTTCTCCCGTGAGGTCCATGTGCTGCCGCAGCAGAGCTCGACCTGTGGCAGCTTCCAAGCAGGAGTTATCAGCCCCTGGGGTAGAAACAGGCCGTGAGCCCCAGAGCTAGTCCCCACAGCCAATAGTTTCCTGGCAGAGTGCTCTGTGCTGCCCTCTTGTGGACAAAGCTCAATACCATCACTATCCCCCTTACCACCTACCTCTCCCCAGGACTTTGAGGATCAAGCTCAGTGACCCAGAACCTGACTGTCATTCAAGCTCAGCCCTAACCTGAGGTCACACTGGATCATGGTGGGCTAGCATCTCTCCCACAGCTGAAGACAGGGAAGGGAGAAGCAGCCATGACAGGGGAGGGAGTAGCAGCGATGAAGTCTCTCTGAATTACCTATCCCTACCAGCATGCTTTTGCTTTAAGTTAGTAATGTGATCTTCTATGAAAACTTAGCATTCTGCCTTCAGACAAGAGAACCTCTCCTTATGTCCCCTTCTCGCACCTTGCAAACTGTAAGAGTCTCTGAGTCTCCTTTGGCTTTCGGCTTTAACAAGTGAAGGAATAGTGGGGAAGCAGGGACCTACCTGGGTCTGACTTGGAGCCTTAGCATAGGTCTATCCACATGCACAATGGGATAATGATTAGTGGATGACCAAGGTATTCACCAACAGGCTCTTGTTTTATGCATGCTGAATTAAAGTGAACATCTGTAACAACCTTCCAGGCAAAATGTGCTAACAAGCTTGAAAACACCCAGGCCCCAGAAATTGTGTTTCTAAGAATGTACCCTTAAAATGTCCCGAGATACGCTACAATGTTTCTGAAAATAACTCAATGGGAAATAAGAAACAAGCGATCTAGTTGGAGAATGAATAAATTAGAAGATACCCAAGTCATAGGAGAAAAATTGTTGATGCTCAAGAATTTAACACTTGTGGTTTTTTTGTCTTGCTTCTTTTTTAAAGATTTTATAGAGAAAGGGAGAGACAGAGACTCTTCCATCTGCTGATGCACAACCCAAATGGTCTTAACAACCAAAGCTAGGAGGCAGGAACTTCCTCGGGGTCTCCCACATGGGTGCAGGGTCCCAAGGTTTTGGGCCATCCTCTACTACTTTCCTGGGCCACAAGCATGGAGCTGGAAGGGAAGCAGAGAAACCGGGACACAAACCAGTGTCCCTATGGGATGCTGGTGCCAACATGCATAGGAATAACCTATTGAGCCATTGTGCCAGCCCAGGTCTGTTTGTTTTAAAGTCAGTTGTAAAACCACGTGCAGTGTGACATATGTGTGCACATATTTGAAAGAATATGCACTGATCATCTCACGCAGTGAGGGTACAGATACATTTTTCTTCCTTTCTCTGCTTTTCCACGTACATCAAATAGGTCTTCATTAAAAAAAAATTTTTTTTTTAATTTTTAAAAAAAAATTAAAAAAAAAAAATATCCCAGATACAATGAGTTACCACAGTGAAGACAGATTTTTAGAAGCACACTTTAAAAACGAAAAAGAAAAGGAGGTGAACATTCAGTGTGGCTTGGGACACCTACAGCTCAAATCTGGGAGGCCTGGGTTTGAGTCCTGGCTCTGCTCCTGGCTGCGCTTCCTGCTGGCACACATTCAGGAGGCAGCAGGTACTGGCCCAGGCAGTTAGGTCCTTGCCTCCTCCACACGGAGAGACCGGGGTGGAGTTCCCAGCTGCTGGCTTTGGCCTGACCAAAGCCCTAACCATGGTGGGCATTTAAGGAGTGACCCAGTAAATGGAAGATTGATCTCCCTCTCTCTCTCTCTCTGCCTTTCAAATAAATAAAACCAATGACTTTTGTAAAAAGTGCTCCTGGGCTGAATTCCAAGTTAAACATGAAAGGTTTCTTCTGACTCCTAGAGCTGTGGTGGACTGCTCCTACGTGGGAGTGTGAGAGTCTGCATGGTGTGGTGTTGTGAAATTGCTCAACAAGGCTATAAGACGTTCAATGGAAGTAATGACTTTGTGATTCATCCGAACTTTAACCAGTCTGGCTTAGGCCACTCAGGTGATGTCTGGCTCTGGGGTGCTGTGAGCTTGGGGCTTCCCCCTACGGAGGAAGTACGGGGCGGCAGCGTACTTCCATGCAGTCTGTCAAGCACAGCTCCTACTCATCCAAGTGGCAGGTGGTGGGTGGGAGTTATCGATTTCAAAGTAGCATTTGTCTAGGTCCAGCCTCCCCATAGCCTTTCTCTCTGCTCTGACTCCTCCTCCTCCTTCACTCCCCCCTCTGTCCTCAGCCCCCCATCGGTGGCACAGGCCTCACAGATGAAGACCGGAGCCTTACCGTACAGGATGGTGGCAATCCTCCTCTGGGCGTACATGGTGAAGCCTTCGTTGAGCCAGAACTCACTCCAGTTGGCATTGGTGACGAGGTTCCCAAACCAGCTGTGTGAGATCTCATGGATGATAACATGGGCCAGGGAGCCGTCCCCTGCCAGTAGGCAGGGGGTGACGAAAGTCAGACACGGGTTCTCCATCCCTCCAAACGGAAAGGATGGTGGCATGAAGAGCAAGTCGTACCTGCCGAGAGGTGAGAGCCACAGGGCGTGTGCTTTCCTCCCTTCCTGCAGCTTCTCCACCTGCTACCAGGCAGATGCCTCGCCCAGCCTCCTGTCCTCCCAGGCTGCCCAGGCCACATCCCTCGTCCTTATGTGCTCTGCTGTCAGAGGGTGTGAGCACGCTGTCACCAACTAAGGGTGATAAAGACCAGGGTGGACCTATGTATGCAGGAAGCCCAAAGTCGGAGGTCATCCAAGGAGACAAGGGGATGTGGGGTATGAGGCGACCCCAACAAGCACAGCAGGCAGGTCAATGAGGCCCAGATACCATTCTCGACCTTCCATTGGCAGCTGCAAGACACCCTCCATCTCACAGTCCCCTCCTCAGCCTCAGCCAGGGAGAGGAGCCAGCCCTACCCCTTCCTCCCCTCATCCTGACCTTCACCTCTGCTGTCCCAGGAGACAGAGCAAGATAAGCAGCCCAGCAGGGAGGGTAGGGAGTGGGGCCACGTTATTAGCAGAAGGCACTGGGGTCCCCATGATACCTTCCCCACAAGTAGGGTCCAAAGAGCTGCTCCCCTGTTGCCAAAAAGTCTTCGACTACGCCGTCATATTCCTTCTTGGCAGCTTCTAGGAGACAGGGCTCGGCCCATACCCGGCTCCTAGAGACCAAAGCAAAAAGGTGAAGCTAGGCCACATGGCCGTGCTGGCCCAGCCCTGTAAGCACCTGTCACAAACTGGCCTCAGTGCCCTGGGCATGCTGTCAGCCACAGACATGACATGCTAGGTGAAATCTCAGGCCTGTGAGTGCTCGCAGCAACTCCGACAGCCTCATGAGGTGGAGGAGGGGCAGCTGTTCCCTGCAGGCGACCCACTGAGCTACAAGGTGCCAAGAATCTGACTTCTCTGATGCTCAGTGTCTTCATCTGTCAAATGGGTGGAGGAGAATTAAATGCACGCCTACCTACCGGCAGTGACTTATATGATAAATGGCAGTTTCCTCCCTCCTACTTATAAGAGAGATGAGGAAAAGATCTGAGGGGCCAGCGTTGAAGTGCAGTGAATCAGGCTGCCAAATGCAAAGCTGGCATCCTATATGGGTGCCGGTTCAAGTCGCAGCTGCTCCACTTCCGATCTAGCTCCCTGCCAATGCACCTGGGAAAGCAAAGGAAGACGGCCCAAGTACCTGGGCTCCTGTACCCAGATGGGAGATCGCAATGAAGCTCCAGGCTTCTGACTTCAGTTATCCCAGCCCAGGCCACAACAGATGGAGCTAAGCCATCCCAAGACAGGAGCCTCTTCTGGGTCTCCCATACCAGTACAGGATCCCAAGGCTTTGGATCATCCTTCACTGCTTTCCCAGACCACAAGCAGGGAGCTGGATGGGAAGTGGAGCTACCAGGACATGAACTGGCACCCATATGGGATGCCAGCACTTGCAGGTCGAGTTTTAGCTAATGAGCCATCATACCAACCCCAAAATAAATAAATCTTAAAAAAAAAAAAAAGAAAGAAAAAAGAAAGGATTTGCAGCCAGCACGGTAGCCTAGTGGCTAAAGTTCTTGCCTTCCATTCTCTGGGATCTGATACGGGTACCAGTGTGTATCCTCCACTTCCTTTCCACCTCTCTGTGGACTGGGAAAGCAATCAAGGACAGCCCAAGGCCTTGGGACCCTGCACCCATATGGGAGACTGGGAAGAAGCTCCCTACTCCTGTCTTCGGACTGGCTCAGCTCCTGCCTTTGCGGCCACTTGGGGAATGAACCAGTGGTTGGATGATCTTTCTATCTCTCCCTCTCTCTGTATATCTGACTTTGTAATGAAAATAAAAAATCTATAATAAATAAATAAATCTTTATAAAAATATTTAAATCATAGAATCCTTGAAATTACAGAGAAATCTATTAGAGTCAACAGAAACCATCAGTTGTGTTGGAGGTAACAGAGGGCCTGGGTCTCGATTCCCCGGGATGGAGAATGTGTGCGTTCTGCAGGGAGGCACAACGACTTGTTAACACACGGCCTGCCACAGACACAGCCACACGTCACTACGACATGGCGGAGAGTTCCACAAGCTGTCACCATCTTCTTCCAGTTTCCTGTGCATCTGAACTTGTCAAAACAAAAAGAAGGTTCTATACAATGGAACGCCAAAATGGGGAAGAGAAGTGGGTAGCCTGTGATCACAGCTCGAGCTGCCGGCGGAAGTTGGGGTGCCCACAGCCAAGAACCACACCCGACCTTGTGCAAGCCACTTCCCGGAGCTCAACCTGCTCCCCTCCCAGAAAGCACATTGTCATTTCCACTGAGTCCACACTGGGATTACAGGAACCAAACATGACAGGTGTCCTGACCCAGGGCCTGGAACAATGGCTCACTCTGTGGAAAGACCCTCCCATGACCTCATTCCACCAGGATCCTAAGCTAGGGGGGCCCTGAAGCAAAGCCCAAATGAAGGGGAGAAGGAAGGTATCCTGACCACCGTGTGGATCTGTCACCTGACCTGACCGACTACTCTATCATAGGAGGGGTCAGAGAATCACTGTAAGCTGTGTACTTAGAACCCACTGCTCTTCCGTAGGCCATTCACAGTCCATGTGCTTGCTAACACAACCTTTTTTTTAATTGTATAAATTTTATTTTTGATACTTTTTGCACATTTGATTAGGATTTGAAGGATCAAGGGCTAGAGGAGGGCCCGGCGTGGTGGCCTAGTGGCTGAAGTCCTCGCCTTGAAAGCTCCAGATCCCATATGGGCGCCAGTTCTAATCCCAGCAGCCCCGCTTCCCATCCAGCTCCCTGCTTGAGGCCTAGAAAGAAAGTCAAGGGCGGCCCAAAGCCTTGGGTTCCTGCACTCACATGGGAGACCTGGAGGAAGAGCCAGGCTCCTGGCTTCAGATTAGCGCAGCACCAGCTGTTGCGGTCACTAAGTGAATCATCGGACGGAAGATCTTCTCTCTGTCTCTCCTCCTCCTCTCTCTCTCTATATATATATCTGATTTTGCAACTAAACTACATTTTTTAAAAAAGGCTAGAGGAAAGTGGGTGAGACCATTGTTTTCACATTCTCTTTTTTCCTTCCTGCATATGGGGGAAGAGAAGAGATAAAGGGAGAAACCACACCCAGCCTCCCAACCATCCCAGGGTCCTGATGTGGGGCATGCTCCGAGGGTCCTGCTCAAGTGGTTTGGATAGTTCAACAGTTCTGTATTGCTGCTGATCTTGCCACTGAAATCACAATGAAATCTCTCCACTGGCTGACGTAGTCCATCTTAGAGTCTGTTTGTCCAGGTATTCACTGCCAACTCTTGGCTGGACTAGCTAATTGATTTGTTCTAGTCCTCCATCCTCTGTTATGCCACCAGGTGTCTTCTGCAGACTCCAGTGTACTACCATATCCTCCATGTGCATCTGGATATGCTGTCCACTGCTCCATCTAAGCCACGGAGGAGGCCCACCTGGGACATATGCATTCCACAGTCAGACCATCAAGCTTGCAATTTTCACCATGGTTGGAATTCTGAGTCCAGTGGTTCTCAAAGAAACTTCATCTGAAGTTATCCCACACCTGAGCCTTGTGAGTGCATACCAATACATGATCTAGTACAGTCTGTTACCCAAATTGGCTTATGCACATACTGTTAGTTGTAATTGCTGGTCAGTTGTCTCCAGCCCTGTCTTTTATGCAAACTAATGGGTGTTGCAGTCCAGCCTGATCCTGCCCACTGCACACTCGGTCCTCACAAAACCAGTGGGAGTTGCACTCTAGTCAGAGTGACCCACAATAACCTCCACCAGGCCTGCCCTCTGCTCTGGTTCCTGGGCTTGCCAGTATGCACAGCAGACTGGTCCAGTCGATCCCACATCCCTATTCAGCTCTCTTATATGTCAATGGGCACTGAAACCTAGTTCAACCCAACCAGCCCCCTATCCAGTCCACACATATGCCAGCAGGCGCCACTCTGTCTAGCCATGCCTGTCCCAGTCCTGCTTCTCATTCTCACCAGTCAGAGTGGCAACCCAAGAAGGTGCCCACTGTTTCCCTAATGGGCTCACTCACAATCCTGGTTTTGCACTCTCCAGGCGGTACTGCAGTTTAGCTTGACAGAATTTTTCCCTCATGCCAGCACCTGCTAGCTGATGCTGTGGCAAAGCCCAACCAAACTTTACCCACTGTGGTTTATGCATGTACCAATAGGTACAAACCCCCCAGCCTGGCTTTTCTCTAATCCAGCTTACATGCAGGCCAACAGGTGTTGTAGCCCTGCCCGGCCTGGTCTCCCTCCCCCCCACCCCCCCACCCCCCATCCAGCTCTCACGCTCACCAGTGGGAATAATAGCCCAGCAGGGGAGCTTTCTACAGCCCCCCTATCAGGTTTGTCCTCTCTCCCCTGGGTCTCACGTGTGCTGGTCGGACACTGTGACCAATTCTAGCATGACCCGCCTAATCTCGGCATTTGCCAGTGGGTGCTGTAGCTTGGCTCGGCCTGGCCTGGCATGCCCCCAATTCCATCTCACACTTGGGGGGACTACAGCCTAGCCAGCCCAGCCAGCCCCAGTCCTGGCCCTAATGTGAACTCACTAATATTATAGCTCAACCTGGCATGACCCACACTCCATTCTGGCTCTCGGATTTGCCACCAGGGCATATGAACTGGCCCAGCCTGGCCTGGCCCAGACCAGAGCCAAAAGTAAGCCCGTGGGTACCATAACCTGGCCTGGTCTGGGCTGCTCCCTTTCCTGGTTCTTGCACTCACCTGCAGGGACTATGTCCCGACAGAGGAGTTGCCATGCTCCTCCATCAGAACCTCTCCCAATGCCAGATCTTGCGCACACCAGTGGGTCCATGGGCCAGCCCTACTTAGTCCACTGCCTATCCTAGCAGAATCAGCAGCCTTTCCCAACTGGCCCTCACTTATTACAGTTCTTACTGTTGGGCGCTACAGCCCAGCCAAGCCTAGTCTACACCCAGATACAGCTCACGCATGGCTCAGCAGGGGCAGAGACCTAGCACAGCCCATTCTCATGATCACCAGTGGGTGCTGGAGTCTAGCCTATTTTGGCACACCCCAGACCCAGTCCATGCTTGTGCCAAGGGAGACTACAGCCATGTCTAGACCAGACTGCAGCCCCCACTTTAGCCCCTGCACTCACCAATGAGACCCACAACCCAGCCAGGGCATCCATTTAGCTACCCAACCAGGCCTGATCCCAGCCACAGATCTCTCTGTGGTTACTCTGACCTAGCTTGGCATAGTCCCTCCCCTGTCTTGGCCTTTGCCTTCAGATGCTGTAGCCTGGCCTGGCCCAGCTGGCCCCAAGTCTTAATTCTCACTGGCAGGTGTTGAAACTTGGCCCTACTCAATCTGCTCTCATTCCTGGCTCATGAAAACCAGCAGATATGGCAGCCTAGCCTGGCATGGCCTGCACTCCATCCTGGTTTCTGCTCTTGCCTGTGGGATATGCTTTGCTCAGCCCTGCCCAGTCTGCCACCTTCCAAAACCAACTCACACACTTGCCGACAGTTGGAGCTACCCTGCCTAGCCTGCCCAACATCCAGGCCTGGACCACGTAGTCACCAGCAGGAACTATGTCCCACTAGGGGAATTTCCCAGGTTCCCCGACTCGAGCCACTCCCAGACCCAGATCTCACACATGCTGGTGGGTGCTTGGCCCTTACGTGGCATGGCTTGCTCCATCATCCTAGCCTTTGTATGAGCTGGTGCAGCCCGGCCTGCCCCACACCCTGTTCCAGGGTGCTCATGCAAGTACTGCAGGCTGGACTTGCCCTGCTTGTTCCAGCTCCATTACCGGTGAGCATCGGTGAGTCCCATAGTTACAACTAGCTCAGCCCATCAACATTCTAATTCTCAAGCTAACCAGCAGGACATGTAGTTCCATAGGGTGGGGCCCACACATCCCCCACAGAATCCAACCCCAGACCTTGTTCTCTCACCTGCTGGTTGATATCATGACCCTGTCTAATGTGACCCATGCCCTGATCTGATACTCACTGTCAAGTACTAGGATCCAGCCCTGCCAGACAGGTCCCCAGCCATAGCTTGCGTGTGCACTGGCGTGTGGTCATCAGCCATGTTCCATGCTAACAAGTCCAACCCAGGACTCCTGTGTGGGCTGGTACATCAGTCTGACCCATAAAGATCTTCAGGTCTCTCCCTTCCAAACCACCAGGTCTCATTCCCCTCATTTACCTGTAAGTATAGTGGCCCTGTTTTTGGGTGTCCCTCAGGGTTCATTCCTCACCTACATGTGAGTGGCCTTATCCATGGATGTCCCTAGGCAGTAATCTCATACCCCCAAGACCCCAAGCTCGCTGACGGGCAGCCTGTGGGCAAAGCCTGATGCTGGTTGGTGCTCTGGCTGCCCACAAGTCCAGAGCCCTCCCCTCACCTAGCAGCAGTGGATGGGGATCTATGATTCCCAGCAGGAAGCCTGACTCAGCACAGGTTTCCCCCAGCTATGCCCACACTCTGCACCTGCTGCTCAGACTTATCTGGACTCCACCCACCAACATGGCGGCAGTGGGTGGAGCCATGGTCCTGAGCATGCCCAGAGCCGTCCAAGATCCATTCCCAGGATGGTTGTTGTGCATGGAGGAAAGACCCCGGACTTGGACAAACCCAGGACGCTCCCCCGTCCAGCAGCAGTGGATAGGGAGCCAGGATACTCAGCAAGCAGCCTGGTCCAGCACAGGAAGCCTTGCCCAGACACCCACCCACTGCTCAGACTTCCTAATACAGTTATTCTAAGATAAACACTGAAATGACCATCCCTTGCTTATCTGTTCTGCCGATCAGAGAGGGTATTCCCTTTGGTTACTATCTACCATCCAGCCAGTGGGAAAGGGTGACACCCTTTCAACACTGGCAGGGTTCTGGTGTGGTTCTGAGCTGGCAATAATGGAATTCCATCCGTCACGCCATCCAACTGCTGGGGACTAAGTCAGGAAGCCCACGGTGCCACAGAGCACAGGGCTAAACCCTGAGGCTCACAACTTACCTTCCAAGGCCACCATCACCCCTGGGGACTGAGCACAGGACCAGAGAAGCAGCCTGGCTTGGCTGCCCAGCCTTCTACTCCTTCATAGCAGGCCTGAGCTACAGCAGCAAGAACACCAGCAAAAACCTACGCTCCTGATCACAGTTCTCATGCCAGGAAACCTTTCAAAATGAAAAAGTGGCAGTGACTAAGATGCCCATGCCCCACATCGGAGCATGTGGGGTACTGGTTTTAGGTTCCAGCTGAGGCAGGCCCTGGGAAGCAGCAGGTGATGGCTCAAGTAATTGGTTGTCTGCCACCCATGAGGGAGAGCTGGATTGAGTTCCTGGCTTTAGCCAGACCCACCCATTCCACGCATTTGGGCGGTGAACCTACGGATGGGCATTCTGGCTCTTTCTCAAATGGGTGGATAAATGGATGGATGGTGGATGGAGGGAGGGAGCAAGGGAGGGAGGGAGTTTCAAGGGCTTCTAAGGAAGCCAATCCTCTAAGCCCTCTCTGCCACGTTGTTCCACAAGACGGTGACAGTAAGAGTGCCTGCTAGAATGACTAAGGATCTCCAGGGGGCAGGACCAGACCAGACGAGAAGGAGGATGGGAGGGAAGAGGTTTGAGGGAAAATGAGCACCGGTTCCAGCTGTTCTCATACATCCTTCTCAGACACAGGATACAAGCCCATGTTCAGGAACCCACCTGCCTGCTGGGGTCTCGGTCTCCTACCTGGGTCCAACTTCAGCAGAATCCAGATCTCCAATAGCCAAGGCAATCAGGTAGGAGGGGATGGGGTGGTTCATCTGGAAGAAGAACTGCTTGGGGCCTCTCTTCTCCCAGGTGTCAGCGCTCATCACAGCTGTGAAGCCATCTGGGACCTGACAACAAAAACTCAGGTGTGCTCACCTGCAGGGGCCTTCCTGTGTGGCGGCAACCTGAACACCCATGGGTTGGCTGTGGGTAGGACCCACACCCAGCTGGAAGAACACTAAGTTTTTTAAAAATTTAACACGGACTGAGCTGGAGGGACTCGGAGGAAAGCTGTCAGGGATATTGGTGAGGGGACAAATTCAGAAATAAGGAATTTGTCAGAGGTCCCATCGGATGGCCAGAATCACCAGTCGACTACATGTAGACTACATGCTAAACCTAGACGGGGGTGCCCGGCTCTAGCCCCTCACCTCCACAAGAGCTGAATATTTGTACTTGACCGCAGGTGTGTCAAAACACGGGAAGAAGGACCGGTTGAGCACGGCCTGGCCCTGAGTGTAGACAAACGGCTTCTTCTTTCCTGCTGTCTGTTCGGGAGTCAGCCAGCACACCTGAGAGCACAGAGGGATGTATCGGAACTGATGTCCCCGTGGAAGGTCCGAAGCAGGAGCCAACTGGCGAGGGAAAGCCTTCCAGTGCTTGCACCACCCTGTTTTGGGGAGAAGGTTATCTCACTGTGTATTTCACCCAGCCTGACAGCTGGGCAGTGTGCAACCCAACACAGAGTCCAGTCCCTACCCCTGAGCCCTAGGACTCAGCTCACAAGATGCAGACCAGCTTTTTTATTTTCTTTCTTTGAAAGGCAGCTTTATAGAGAGAAGGAGAGACAGAGATCTTCCATCCACTGGTTCACTCCCCAAATCCAAAGCCAGGAGCCAGGAATCCCCTCTAGATCTCCCATGCAGGTATAGAGTCCCAAGGACTTGGGCCATCCTCTGCTGCCTTCCTAGAAGACCATAAGTAGGAGGCTAGATGGGAAGTGGAATAGGCAAGACACAAACCAGCACCCATATGGGATGTCAACACTACAGGTGAAGGATTAATCTATTGAGCCACGGAGCCAGCCCCATTTTTTTTTTCTTTAAATGTTTTCATTTACTTGAGAGAAAGAGAACAGTCTCCCATCCACTGGTATACTATCGAAACACCTACAACAACCAGGGCTGGGCCAAGGCAAAATCAGCCACCCAGAACTTCACATGTGTCTCCCAACCATGTGGAACCATGTGGGTGGCAGGCACCCACGCACTTGGGCCATCAGCTGCTGCCTCCCAGGATGCCTGAGCGAGACGCTAGATCAGAAGTGGAAGAGCTGGAAGGAGCTGCGGTGTCTCTAGCAGCGGCACACCTCCACTGCGACCTGCTTCTGCCTGTCCCGTCCCGCTCTCGGGCCTTCTGCTACAGCAGTCTCCCACCACGTCACCAACCCAGGGAGATGAGAAGAAACTGAGAGTCGGTGTGAAGTACGGCTCCCCCATCCCTGGGATGCACCTTCTCTGACTAAAGGCAGTCACACGGCAGGCATTGGCTACAGGAATCTCCATCTGTTTTCTGTTAGCCCTTAAGTTAAGGGCCAATCTGAATGATTATGACAAACCCAATTTTGTGAAAAATTATTTGAGAGGCAGAGAGAAAGACTCCCAATATTCAGTCCTTCTTTTTTCAATTGGAAAGTCAGATATACATAAAGGAGAAGAGATAGAGAGGAAGATCTTCTGTCCGCTGACTGACTCCCCAAGTGGCCGCAACGGCAGGAGCTCAGCCGATCCGAAGCCAGGAACCAGGAGCTTCTTCCCAGTCTTCCATGAGGGTGCAGGGTTCTTGACTGCTTTCCCACACCACAAGCAGAGAGCTGAATGGGAAATGGGGCCGCTGGGATTAGAACAGCAGCCCATATGGGATCCTGGCACATGCAAGGCGAGGACTTTAGCTGAGGATACACAGATGGAGATCTGAGAACATGATCTGGTCTCTCCCATGGGTGGCGGGAGCCCTGTTACTCAGGCCATTGTCACTGCATTCCTGGATGCATGTTTGCAGTGTGGCCATCTGGGTTTGGGTCCTAGCTGCTCCACTTCCCATACAGCTTCCTACTTCACCTGAGAAAGCAGAGGATGGCCCAAAGCCTTGGGACCCTGCACCCATGTGGGAGATGCAGAAGCTCCCTGCTCCTGGGTTCATATTGACGCAGCTCCAACCATTGCTGTCACTTGGAGAGTGAACCAGTGGTTGCAAGATCTTTCTCTGTCTCATCCTCTCTCTGTAAATGTGTCTTTAATTAAGAAAAAAAAAGAAGGAAGGAAGAAATAAAGGAAGAAAGGGAAGAAGAAAAGGAAAAGAAAGTGGGGGAGAGAGAGAGAAAGAAAGAAAGAAAGAAAGAAAGAAAGAAAGAAAGAAAGAAAGAAAGAAAGAAAGAAAGAAAGAAAGAAAGAGATCTTCCTTTTTGTCTATCCTCCTCTCTGTATATCTGAAAAAAGAAGGGAGGAAGAAAGGGAGAAGGAAAGACAAGTAGAACGGAGCAGCTGATTCCAGGAAGGTGTCAGAGGTGAAGCAGAACTAGAGGTGGACAGCTGGAAGGCTGGGAGGACGTGACTGAGACAGGTAGCGACATGAGGCCAGGTGGCTATGGCCCAGGGATGCGGTGGGAGGGAGTGGACAGAGCAGGGAAGCATGGCTGGGCAGGTAAGCTGAAACCTTGTATCCTGAGGTGTCTGAGACTGATTTTCTTTTCTTTTTTTTTTTTTTTTTAATTTTTGAAGATTTATTTATTTTTATTACAAAGTCAAATATACAGAGGAGAAACTGAGAGGAAGATCTCCCATCAGATGATTCACTCCCCAAGTGAGCGTAATGGCTGGTGCTGTGCCGATCTGAAGCCAGGAGCCAGGAACTTCCTCCAGGTCTCCCACGTGGGTGCAGGGTCCCAAGGCTTTGGGCTGTCCTCGACTGCTTTCCCAGGCCACAGCAGGGAGCTGGACGGGAAGTGGAGCCGCCGGGATTAGAACCAGTGCCCATATGGAATCCCAGCGCATTCAAGGTGAGGACTTTAGCTGCTAGGCCACGCCATCGGGCCCTTCTTCTTCCTTTTTTAATTGCAAAGTCAGATATACAGAGAGCAGCAGAGACAGAAAGGAAGATCTTCCATCAGATGATTCATTCCCCAAGTGCTCGCAACAGCTGATGCTGTGCCAATCCAAAGCCAGGATCCAAGAACTTCCTCCAGGTCTCCCACACGGATGCAGAGTCCTAAAGCTTTAGGCCTTCTTTGACTTCCTTTCCAGGCCACAGGCAGGGAGCTGGATGGGAGCGGCACTGCCGGAATTAGAACCGGCGCCCATATGGGATTCCAGTGCTTGCAAGGCAAAGACTTTAACCACTAGGCCACTGTGCCAGGCCCATGGGACCAATTCAAGCAGTGTAAGGAATCCATGTGGGCATCGGGACTTTTCCTTGCTCAAGTGTTAGTGAATGTGCAAACCTTCACCGGCCTCCTACAGTTCAGCCAGTGTGGACTCAGGAGCACAGCGTGACTTCCCAGTGAAGAAAGCTGATCATGAGCAAATGTTAGTTAGTCTGAATCATGAGCAAAACATCAGGCAAAATTCCAGCAAAGGGACATCGACAACACATCAACCGACATTCCTCACTAAGGTCAAGGTCATCAAAAACAAGGAAAGTCCCATGGGGGAAGGGCACAGGGAGGGCTTGGGGGAATCCCAGAGCCTATGAAACTGTGTCACCACAGTCCAAGAGGAATTCAGAGTTACACAAAGTGCATTGTGGCTGTGGTGTTCTGGAAGGGGTCCCAGAGAGAGATAGGAATTAAAGACTAAGGAAATTTGGGGGATTGGGAGGGGCAGGGAATTGCTGGCTTTAGTTCATAATGCCTCACTAGCAACTCATTGGCCCCAGGGCTCATAAATTACAACACACGGGGGGCATGTGTCGGGACAGATGGGGGCCAGCATTTTGACTCAGTGTCTGCGTCCCATTTGAGCACCAGCTGATGTCCCTGCTACTCCACTTCGAGCTCAGAGCCCTGCTAATGCACCTGGGAAACGCAGCCTCAGAACGGCTGAGTGCTTGGGTCCCTCCCATGGGACACTGACATGGGGTTCCCGGCTGCTGGCTTGTACCTATTTGGGAAGTGAGCCAACAGATGGAAGATTCTCTCTCTCCCCTCTCTGCCTTTCAAATAAATGAATCTCTTTAATAATTAACTGGGGGGCCCCGGCGGCATGGCCTAACGGCTAAAGTCCTCATCTTGAGCTCGCTAGGATCCCATATGGGCGCCGGTTCTAATCCCGGCGGCTCCACTTCCCATCCAGCTCCCAGCTTGTGGCCTGGGCTCACTTGGGGAATGAATCATCAGACAGATGATTTTCCTCCCTATTTCTCCTCCTCTCTGTATATCTGACTTTGTAATAAAAATAAATAAATTTAAAAAAAAATTTTTAACTGGGGCCCAGTTCGGTGGCCTAGTGGCTAAAGTCCTTGCCTTGAACGCGCCAGGATCCCATATGGGCACCGGTTCTAGTCCCAGTAGCTCCACTTCCCATCCAGCTCCCTGCTTGTGGACTGGGAAAGCATTCGACCACCCCAAAGCCTTAGGACCCTGCACCCATGTGGGAGACCTAGAGGAAGCTCCTGGATCCTGGCTTCGGATCGGCACAGCACCGGCTGTTGCACTCACTTGGGGAGTGAATCATCTGATGGGAGATCTTCCTCTTTGTCTCTGCTGCTCTCTGTATATCTGACTTTGCAATAAAAATAAAATAAATTTAAAAAGAAATTTTTTAAAAGAGTAAATCAGCTGGCTATCAGAGCTGACCCTTGCAGGGCGCGTACCACGCCCCAAACCCCAGACTGCACTCAGCAGTTACAGAATAATCAATACTTGGACTCTATACTTTGGCTCCTGCAACACGTTATCAATCCTGGCCATCATCCCCTCACCTAAGCTCCTCACTCATCACCTTTGCTTGAGATTTAAACAGGCAACCGCAAGTCAGCAAAAGGAATGGACCCAGCTGCCCATAACCTGCAGAGGGACAGCAGGGAGCAGGTGGCTCAGGCATCAATAGGACGCCACGAACGACCCCCACGGGGCCCAGGGCACGCCTCCCCAAAGCACCCCGGGTTCTGACGTGGAGTTACCAGGGCCACCTTCAGCGGACAAACTCAGGGAAGAGTTTTCTTTCCAGGGGTCCTGTCCAATTTCTACTCCTTGCAGGGCAACCAGGAGCCAACACCTCCAGAGCAGCCCGGGACGGTACTGCACTGACTCTGTCCTCTCCCTAAGAGGCTTAGTTTGTGTCCTGTACTTTTTTTTTTTTTTTTTCATTTTAAATGCCATTTCTGTCACGAGGTTCACTCACAATGAAAACTGGAAACAGAACTGTAACTGGGGCCAGTTCTGATGAGGGATGGGGGATAGCATTAGGCAGTCAGTTGCAGGCAGGGTGCAATCTTTGAAACAGCCCTCACAGCCCACCCACCGCGGGAAGGCCTGGGACTGAGCAGAGTCATCCCGCCTGTGCAGCTGTTAGCAACAAGAAACAAAGGCCTGACCAGGGGGCCGGCCCCGGGGCCAGGCCCTCCACCCCGGGCCCTCTCAGGGCAGAAGGCCAACAACCCTGGCAGGAACCCGGACCCCAAGTTCCGCGGCTGCTTCCCGCAGGAAGCCCCAGGGTGCAGAACAGGACGGAGCTGAGGATGGGGGCGCGGGGCCAGGGCTGAGGGACGTGGCCGGAGAGCCAGGCCGCGTACAGGCAGGAAGCACTCACCCCGGGCCCTTCCCCAACGCGGAAGGTGAGCCGCAGTTGCAGGCGCTCGGAAGTCCGGCAGGGCTGCGGGAAGACGACGCACAAGGCCTGGCCATAGTGCGAGAAGGGCTGCGTGTGGAAGGACACGGGCTCGGCGGGCGGCTCCTCCTCCGAACCCGGGCGCTCCCGCTGCAGCACCGCCGCCGTCACCTCGAGGCACGGGTGCGAGTCGAGCCGCAGCTCCGAAGCGCCCTCGGGCAGCAGGCAGCGCAGCTGGTAGGTGGCCGTGCCGCTGAGCGCACGGCTCCCTGGGCCCGGGCCCGGGGGCCCGAACTCGACACGCAGGTCCAGGTGCAGGTGCAGAATCTCGAAGGCTCGGAAACTGGAGACCGAGGCCACGTCCACGGCCTGCGCCGAGTGCAGCGGCCGCCGTGCCGCACGGCCTCCCGCCATGGCTCGCTGTGCCGTTTGCTGGTCGGCCGGGAAGGCCGGTTCCGCAAGACGGCCGCGCAAGCCCCGCCCACCACCGCCAGGCCACGCCCCAGGGGACGCCCACACCTGGACCACGCCCACTGTGTGGTCACGCCCCCGGAGAAACCGGCCTGCTTGGCCCGGCGAAACTTCTGCGACCTCACCGAACCTGACGTGCCCGTTCCCGGCTTCGTGCCGGGAGGATGGGACTCTGAGGGCCGCCTTGCCTAGATGTATCCCTTTGGGTTACCCTTTTCCGATTTTTTGTCTTCCCGGCACGCCGCGCACGTGTTTAGAGGGGGCAGAGCGATGGCTTGGGTTTCAGTCTCCTCCCTGGGCCCGCCTCTGATGGGGCTGTGTACTGGCCCTTTCCTGACCAGGAACACATCGCACATCAGCCACCAGGCGGATCCTAACCGTGAGCGGTGCAGGGCAGTTCCTCTTTTATTTTTAAATGACATAATCATGAGGCAAAGTGTGAGGCTTTGCTGGATTTGTCCATTGTACAACCACCAAATCAAAGCCGTTAGCTTATCAACACCACCTCAGATGTTGAACATTTCTTCTTGATGAGAACAATTGAAAATCCTTTGTTTGGAAACACCATCAATCCTGCAGTCCGGGCCCAGTGCAGTAGCCGAGCACCTAAAGTCCTCGCCTTGAACTCGCCGGGATCCCATATGGACACCGGTTCTGATCCTGGCAGCACCACTTCCCATCCAGCTCCCTGCTTGTGGCCTCAGAAGGCAGTCGAGGACGGCCCAGAGCCTTGGGATCCTGCACCCGCCTGGGAGACCTGGGAGAAGCTCTGGGCTCCTTGCTTTGGAATGGCTAAGCTCCAGCCATCGCAGTCACTTGGGGAGCGAGTCAGCAGACGGAAGATCTTCCTCTTTGTCTCTCCTCCTCTCTGTATATCTGACTTTGCAATAAAAAAATAAATCTTTAAAAAATTAAATTAAATTAAAACTCCTGCAATCAGCCCATTGTCCAATAGGACACCAGAAACCATCCCTCCCGATTGGAACAGCAGGGGTTGGGCCAGGCAAAGCAAGTCAGGAACTCCCTTGTGGGTAGCAGGGACCCGAGGCTTGGGCCACCCCACTGCCTGACAGGGTGCCTTCAAAAGGAAGCTGGAATGGGAAGTGGAGCCAGGACGACAGCCCAGGCATTCTGGAATGTGATGTGACTGCACCAGGCATCCTGCCCTCTCTGCCAAATGCCGACCACTGCTGAACTCTCCACTTTTGGATGTTGTGGTCTTAGGCATCCAAGTTCAGGAGGCGACAGCTTTCCCACCCGTGTAATCCTTTCTGCCCGCTTGTGATGCCCACCTATCATCACCGGGAACCTGGGGAGGGGCGTGGTAATGCACTGTTTTGTAACCACTCCCCTCGCACCATTAAAGCCCACCATAGGGAGAGGATCTCTTCCTTGGTCACATGCTTCCATTGCTCTTGCTCTCTGACTCTTGGCCTCCCCAAACCCATTTGCTCTCTGGCTTCCTGTGGACAGACTGAGGACAGGAGTCCCCTGACCATGACCCTGTGTATCTGTATTCCTCAACCTCTGCTCACTGATTGAGTCAGTGAAGATGCAAACGCTAAGGTGCTCTGTATTTCTTCTTCTTTTCTTTTTTTAAGATTTATTTTTTGTCAGAAAGTCAGATATACAGGACAGGACAGACAGAGAGGAAGACCTTCCATCTGCTGCTTCACTCCCCAAGCAGCTGCAACAGTCAGAGCTGCACCAAACTGAAGCCAGGAGCCTGGAGCTTCTTCCAGGTCTCCCATGCAGGTACAGGGTCCCAAGGCCTTGGGTCGTTCTTGACTGCTTTCCCAGGACACAAGCAGGGAGGTGGATGGGAAGCAGTGCTACCAGGATTAGAACCAGCGCCCATTTGGGACCCCAGCATGTAAAGGCAAGGACTTTAACCGCTAAGCCACTGCACCGGGCCCAACACCCTTTTCTTTTTCCTTTTTTCTCTAACTTTGGTAGTGGAGACCAAGGACTCTCTCTGCATTTTCTTTTGTGGATTGGCAGATTTTCATTTCTTGTGGGGACTCCAGTCCGTGTTCCATATCAGCGACAACCTCACTGGACGCCTATGAGTCTGACTGTAAGGGCTGAAGGCTCATTGATATTAAAAAGCACAGAGTCCAGACTTTTACAGAAATCATTTCTCCTCTCTACTGTGCCCTCCTCAGAGCCCTCAAAACTTTAGACCATACTTTGTAGTTAAGCACACACTTCCTCTACAGGAAGTGAACCAGTAGCAATGATGACCCACAGCATAAAATAAGATTTCATAAGTGCTGTTGTTAACTTTAGCCCCTGTTCCTGCCACCAGTCCTTGAAGCAGATCAATATACTGCTTCTTAATTGAAGAGAAGTGTCTCAGTATGAAATTCCAAAAGTTCGCTTACCTTGAGCGTTCCAGTTCCATTTTCCTTTCGGTTTCTCCCAGCTTTCTTCAGGTCCCTGTTCGTGGCGCCAGATGTCAGGATTAATCAAACAGACAACAAAAAGCTTAAGGGAGAAATTATTATGGTCCCAAGGCCTTGGGCCATCCTTGACTGCTTTCCCAGGCAAGCACATAACTAGATAGGAAGCAGGGCTGTCAAGATTAGAACCAGCACCCTTATCGGATCCCAGCATGTACAAGGCGGAGACTTTGACAGCCAGGCTACTACACCAGGCCCCTGTCTTCACTTCTGTTAGTACCAGGAGGAACACTACATCCACTCTTGAGGACAGACAACTCAGTGTCTGTTTTGTTAGGACATGGCCTGCAGATGACATCGTCCTAGCAGTTAGCACCAGAGATTCTGGAAGGCCGTTTCTGCTCCAAGGACATTCCAGTGCCCATCTCTCCAGCCATTTTTTTTAAAGATTTATTTATTTTTATTGGAAAGACAGATATACATACAGGGAAGGAGAGACAGAGAGGAAGATCTTCCATCCACTGAATCACTCCCCAAGCAGCCGCAATGGCTGGAGCTGAGCCAATCTGAAGCCAAGAGCCTCCTCCGGGTCTCCCATGCTGGTGCAGGGTCCCAAAGCTTTGGGCCATCCTCAACTACTTTCCCAGGCCACCAGCAGGGAGCTGAATGGGAAGTAGAGCTGCCAGGTTTAGAACTGGTGCCCAGATGGGATCCTGGCACATTCAAGGCAAGGGCTTTAACTGCTACGCTCTCATGCTGGGCCCTCTCCAGCAACTTTCATTACCCACTGACTCTCACATGGTTAGGATCCAACACATCTTATGCCGCTGGAAGGGAACCAAAGCCAGGAGTCACTGAACTAAATTCAGGGCCTCCCCAGTGGGTGGCAGGAAGCCAGTAACAAGCCATCAACTGTTGCCCGCAGTGGCACAGCGGGCCCTGAGCCCAAACACTGACACAGAAAGTGTGAATCCCAAGCACCATCTCAGCCACAGCACCAAAGACCTGTCTATGAATTTTTTATGCCATTTTCACATGGCAGGAAAACGCTTTCTTCCTTAGATTTTTTTTTTCCAGTTACTAAAAAGAAGTGAGTCATGTACTTGGACCATCATCTGCTGCCTCCCGGGTGCATTAGCAGGGAGCTCGATAAGAAGCAGAGGTGGAATCTGATCTAAGACCCTCCGGTGGGGATCACAAGCAGTGGCCTACTGTGCTGCTCCACAACACACAGCCCCAGAGGAGCTCCTTGAACCACATGGTCAAGGTTAACATCCACCAGTAGTAAATACAGAAACCATCTGTCCCTCGATACAATGCAATGCGATCATGGCACCTCTATGGTGTCCATATCAAGTATAACTACTACTAAGAAAGTTACTAGTCCAAGTTGAGACTGTCTTCAAAATAACTCTTCAAAAATATTAGACTGGGGACTGGCATCATGGTGTGGAGGGTAAAGCCACCACCTGTGGGGCCAGCATCCCATTTGGGTTCAGGTTGAGTCCTGGCTACTCCACTTCCAATCCAGCCCCTTGCTTTTGTCTTTGTGTTTATTTTTTTTTTTCAATTTTTTTTGTCAGCACCCTGCTAATGCACCTGGGAAAGCAGCGAAGGATGGCTAAAATGCTTAGACACCTACACCCACATGGGAGACCTGGAAGAAGCTTGTGGCGATTGATTTCCAGACTGGCCCAGCTCCAGTCATTGCAGGCATTTGGGCAGTGAACCAGCATAGGTCTGTGTCTTCCACCCTAACTCTGCCTATTAAAGAGAGAGAGAGAGAGGAAGGAAGGAAGGAAGGAAGGAAGGAAGGAAGGAAGGAAGGAAGGAAGGAAGGAAGGAAAAAAGAAAGAAGAGATACCAGGTCACAGTAACAAGGAAAAGCTAAGAACTAGTCATAAACTTGAGGAGCCTAAGGAAGCTAAACAAGAATGTTGGATCCTGTGTTAGATCCTGAAAAAGGACATTACAGGAGAGGGTGGAGCAAGCCAGTCCTTGTGTAGGGAATGTAACCAAGTGATTTGGTTAGATCACTCTGGTTACAGATGTTACCAGAAGAGGGAGCTAAATGGAAAGGTTTGCTATACTGAAACTCTAGTGGTGCTTTTTTTCCTGTAATTTTTTTTTTCTTCAAGATTTATTTTTAATGGAAAGGCAAGTTTACAGAGAGAAGGAGAAACAGAGAGAAAGACATCTTCCATCTGCTGATTCACTCCCCAAATGGCCGCTATGGCCGGAGCTGAGCCAATCTGAAGCCAGGAGTTTCTTCTGGGTCTCCCATGTGGGTGCAGGGTTGCAAAGCTTTGAGCCATCATCTACTGTTTTCCCAGGTCACAGGCAGGGAGCTGGATGGGAAGTGGAGCAGTCAGGACATGAACAAATACCCATATGGGATGCTGCTGCTTGAAAGTGGAAGATTTAGCTATTGAACTATCAAGCTTAGTCCAGGACCCCTGGGACCCGGCACAGTAGCCTAGCGGCTAAGTTCCTTGCCTTACAAGCAAGCACCAGGATCGTATATGGGTGCTGTTTCATATCCCAGCTGCTGTACTTCCCTTCCAGATCTCTTGCTCTGTCTCTCCTTCTTGGGGAAAATCTGCCTTTCCAATAAAACAATAAATAAATAAATCTTTTTTTAATTTATTATTTTTTTTTTATTATTGGAAAGGCAGATATACAGAGAGGAGAGACAGAGAGGAAGATCTTCCGTCCAATGATTCACTCCCCAAGTGAGCGCAACGGCCGATGCTATGCAGATCCGAAGCCAGGAGCCTCTTCTGGGTCTCCCACGCGGGTGTAGGGTCCCAAAGCTTTGGGCCATCCTCGACTGCTTCCCCAGGCCACAAGCGGGGAGCTGGATGGGAAGAGGGGCAGCCGGGACCAGAACTAGCGCCCATATGGGATCCCGGGCATGCAAGGCGAGGACCTTAACGGCTGTGCCACCGCGCCGGGCCCAATAAATAAATCTTAAAAAATTTAAAATGACAAAGAGAATCTTTCATTCCCTGATCTACTTCCTTAAACATCCTTTACAGCAGGGCGGGGCCATGGTGAGGCTGGAGAGCTGGAAACTCCACAGAAGTCTCCCACCCAAGTAGCAGCCAGTCAGGTACTGGGGTCACCATCTGCTGCCTCCCCGGGTGCACATTAGCAAGAAGCAGGGTCAGAAGCAGAGCTGCAACTCAAAACGAGAAGTGTGCGTGGAATAGGCGTAAAGAGAAAAGATGGACCACCACAATTTCAGGATAATAATGGACAATGCAAGAAAGCTGTCCCCTTTATTTACACAGATGCAGTCACAAGCTCTGGCAAAGATTTTTTATGTCACGGTCAAGTGGATGTTTCCAAGGATAATTCTGCCATTTGTCTTATCTTAAAGCAGGAAAAACCATTGATAGTAAAAACCAACTTCACAGGAGCAAACAACAATGCCTCAACAGATTACAGAACTCTCAGCGGGGTGGTCAGGTGTCCGTGCAAAGGGGAGTGGAACCGTCTTGAGGTGGTTGCAGAAACATCTGCTGGGCCTTGCAGTGGGGAGCTCCTAGCAGCCTTGCCTGCAGGGAAGTGGCTCTCCTCACACCTTCCTGTCCTCCATACCCACCACACGGACCCCAGCAGGAATAGATTATTTCAATAGCAGATGCAGCTGATCCCACTTCTCTTCCAGGTCCTGATAGAAACCCAGTGTCATGCCAACTTCACACAAAGTATCACAGATGGTATCTTACTGATGCAGATCTTCGTATTGAAACAGAAACTCACTCCAGTGTTCCAAGAAAGACCTACAGCAAAGCTCTTTCCTGGGCCTGGCATGGTGGCCTAGCGGCTAAAGTCCTCACCTTCCACACACCAGGATCCCATATGGACATGGGTTCTAATCCCGGCAGTCCCGCTTCCCATTCAGCTCCCTGCTTGTGGCCTGGGAATGCAGTCAAGGACGGCCCAAAGCCTAGGGACCCTTCACTCACCTGGGAGACCTAGAAAAGGCTCCAGGCTCCTGGTTTCAGATTGGCTCAGCTCCAGCCATTATGGTCACTTGGGGAGTAAATCAACAGACAGAACATCTTCCTCTCTGTCTCTCCTCCTCTCTATCTAACTTTGCAATAAAAATAAATAAATTTTTTTTAAAAAATACCAGCTTATTCCTATCTGCAGATTTCTCCAGTTATATTAGTAATTAGAATAATTTAATTATTTTGTCTCTTATTCTGGGCTGTACTATATCAAACAGCTTTACAATATTCGTTATTTCTTGTATTTAAAAAAAATTGTTTATTTATTTATTTGAGAGGCAGAGGGAGAAGAGATCTTCAATCTGCTGTTTCAATTCCCAAATAGCTGCAACAGCCAGGGCTTGGTCTAGCCAAAGCAAGGAGCCAGAAGTTCATTCCTGTCTCCTGTATGCGTGCAGACCCCAAGTACTTGGGATATCTTCTTTTAAAATCTATTTATCTTTAAAATAATGTTTAAATTTTATTTATATGTATATGATTTATGCATATTTATATTATGTCTTTATATTATTATGTAATAAATTATTATCTATATTATTTTATCTACAGAAAGAAGGAGAAACAGAGAGAAAGATCTTCCATCCACTGGTTTCATTCCCTAAGTGGCCACAATGACTGGAGTTGAGCCAATCTGAAGCCAGGAGCTTCTTCCAGATCTCCCATGCGGGTACAAGGTCCCAAAGCTTTGGGCCGTCCTCCACTGCTTCCCCAGGCCAAGCAGGGAGCTGGTGGGAAGTGGAGTAGCTGAGATACAATCCAGTATCCATATGGGATCCTGGTAGGTACAAAGCAAGGACTTTAGCTCTAGACTACTAAGCCAGGCCCCCTCTTTTTAAGTTTAATTTTTTATTCATTTATTTTTTTTTAAGATTTATTTATTTTATTGGAAAGGCAGATATAAAGGAGGAGAGACAGAGAAGAAGATCTTCCATCCAACAATTCACTCCCCAAGTGACCGCAATGGCTGGAGCTGAGACAATCCGAAGCCAGGAGCTCTTCCAGGTCTCCCACATGGGTACAGGAACCCAAGGCTTTGGGCCATCCTTGACTGCCATCCCAGTCCACAAGCAGGGAGCTGGATGGGAAGTGGAGCTGCCTCGGGATTAGAACAGGCACCTATATGGGATCCTGGCGCATGCAAAGCGAGGACTTTAACCACTACGCTATTGTGCCGGGCCCATAGATAGTTCTTTTTTTTTTTTTTAATTGGAATGGCGGATATACAGAGAGGAGAGACAGAGAGGAAGATCTTCCGTCCGATGATTCACTCCCCAAGTGAGCACAACGGCCAATACTATACCGGTCCGAAGCCAGGAGACTCTTCTGGGTCTCCCACGCGGGTGCAGGGTCCCAAAGCTTTGGGCTGTCCTCGACTGCTTCCCCGGACCACAGGCAGGGAGCTGGAAGGGAACCGGCGCCCATATGGGATCCTTGGCATGCAAGGCGAGGACCTTAACAACTGTGCCACCGTGCTGGGCCCCATTGATAGTTCTTAAATGCTGTGTATCTTGCCACTCTAAGGATGAGGAAATCCATCCATTGGCTGACATAGTCCACCTCACAGTCTCTATTCACCCAGATATTTGCTGTCAATGCTTGACTGGAGTATTTGTCTGATTTGTTCTGCCCCCCCATCCTCTACCATGGTACCTGATGTTCTCTGCAGGTCCCAATGGACTCCCTTTATCCTTTATGTGCATACAGGCATGCCATCCACTACTCCATTTAAGCCAATCAGAAGGCCTAGTTCTGACTCATGCACTCCACGGTCAGATCATATCCTATGATTCTCCCCATGGTTAGAATTCTGAGTCCATCAGTTCAACTGGGGGGATACCCAAAGAAACATTGTCTGTGGTGACGCTAGACCTGACTCGTGCGTGCTTGCCAGTACAGGGCCTGGCTCAGTCCTTCACTCACATCAGCCTATGCACACAGGGGTGGTAGCCCTTACGTACAGCAGCAATAACTGCAGCCTACCTGGAGTGACCCCTAATAACCCTCATTAGGCCCATCCCCTTGCCTTGCATGCCCAGGATCCCATGTGACTGCCAATTCACACCCCGGCTGCTCCACTTTCCATCCAGCTACCTGCTTGTGGCCTGGGAGGGAAGTGGTGGATGGCCCAAAGCCTTGAGACCCTGCACCTACATGGGAAACCGAGAGGAAGTTCCTGGCTCCTGGCTCCAGATTGGCTCAGCTCCTGTCATTGTGGCCACTCGGGGAGTGCACCAATGGATGCAGGATCTTTTTCTGTTCTTTGTAATTCTGACTTTCCAGTAAAAGTAAACATACCTCTATTAAAAAAAAAAAAAAAAAAAAAAAACAAGACTAAATATAGCCAAAGGGAAATTACTAACACTTCAGGGCACAGGCCAGTTCCAACACAGGAAAATCATCTATTCCGAACGTAAACCCATTTTCCACAACTGAGCAGATGCCAGAAAACCCTCCCTGGATATCAGCTTCCGGGAACGCGGGCCACATCACCAGCAGCAGCACTTTATTTTTCAGTACCCAGTTAATACCAGACTATTCCAGAGCCACTGTGCCCTCCATGAATATCTCCCATATAGTGCCAGATGTGCTGGAAGCAGGTTGCTTCTGATTCAGGAAGCAAGACAGCAGTTCTAAAAGGAAGACAATGTGATGTGACCAGCCTTGAAATCAACACAGCACAATATATACTTGAACCATGCTGACTCAGCTCCATTCTTCCCTTTAAGTAGCCGAGGGGCTAACTGTTCAACATGCTTTATTCTGGCATGTGAGCATGAAACATGAACTGTACACTTATTTCAAGAGACTGAGTTCCAAGAGCGTTTTATTGATGGAATAATTGAGCACACAAGACCAGGCAGAGAAGTTCCCAGAGGGGATGGGCACGTTTCACTGCTCCTTGCCTTTTGGTCCTTTGTCTTCTAAGCACTTCCATTCTCTTTCAATGATAGGAGACATTTATTTTGATCACAAATGCAATCCAAGTGTGAATAAATAAATGTATTATCATGTAATACTTCACAGGTTCCTTTAAATAGAAAAAGTACTCAATGTCTCTTCATAGCCTACTCGGCCATGGCTGTCCCACCTAAGGTTTAAAAAGACTGTGGCTTGGTCTTCTAAGTCCTTCTTGACCTAGAGCTCACGTGACTGCAGATGCCCCAGGAAAGAAGTCCTACTGGTACTGTCGATAGTCTCCAAACGGTGAGGACGGCAATTGGGTGGAAGGTAACTGGGTGGGGTCTTCGGCAAACTGAGGACCTGTGATTAAGAAAGAGGATTTTATAATCACGTGCATAGTGCATGATGCAAAAGATCAAGTTTCCAACAGTGAAGCAACTAACTCAAATGAGCTCCCCTTTGAGCTGTCATCCAATGTTTCTGAAACCCTAACTCCCGTGAAAGGCTTGGAGAATTGGAGAATGTGCAAGTTCAGCACCTCCTCTGACAGCCTGGTTTCATGTGCCTCAGCCATGCGTAGGAAGTTAGCTAGATCCATCACAGCCAGAAGGGATGTTCACACCAGTGAAGGCTCTGCCTTGACCAGCTGGCACGGACTGCCACTCCCCTTTCTTCCCCACCCTGACACACACCTGTCCGCTGCTGAGTTACTATCGCACAGCCCCAGAACCCTGGTCACAACTGAGAACTCAGCTGTCCATTGCATGGAACCAATGACACAGGAGCCAATGAGCTCTGTGAAGACAAGACAGCCCTGGGCCTACTGCAGAACAGTCCTGCAACTTCAGGTTTCTAAGAGCAAGGAGGGATGCGGACCATAAACTAAGGGGGAAAAAGTAGCTCTTGAATAAAAGAGAATCATCCATCTTTTTTCTTTTAGGAAAACTGAGGCAGACTAAAAAGTATCTGGACAAGAGAAAGAGAACAGTATAAAAACCCCTGAAGTCTCCTGGTGTTTCGCTTTACAGCAAGACCGCTTCACCAAGAACACGTGCTCCTGAGCAGACAACCACTGTTACCATGAGCGACACCTAATGCCACCCTAAGTTGTACCTAATGTTTTCACACTTGGTCTAAGAACTGTCTGAACATGATTAATTTTTCAATTTCCCTCCCACACAGATTTCCAGAAACATCTCCTTTCTAAAAATAAAATATGCCTCTTTGAAGCTACTGTTCTCTGATGCTAGTTTTGTACTCAAAAGGGAGCTTTCAAAGGAAAAAAGTCTTAAAAGTAATCAAGACTATCTAAGACAATGTAACTGCTATATTCTCTGAACTTCTGAAAACACGGAATTCTTTTGATGTTTTATGTGAAGTCTTTTCCACCAAAGTGACTGAAACAAACAAAACACTAGAAGAGTGAGCATTCAGGCAGGTGCTGGCGCAGCTGTTAAGGCAACACTTGGGACGTCCATGTCCTACACTGGAGTAACCAGGCCAGAGTCCTCACTCTGCCTCCAATCCCAGATTCCCGGGAGGCAGCAGCTAAGTTGGCCAAGCCCTTGGCTCCCCTCTGCCCAAACGGGAGACTCAGATGGAGCTCCTGGCTTTTAGTCTGATCCAGGTCTGGATACTGTGGGCATTTGGGAAGTCAATCAATGGAAGGCAGAAGTTCTTCCTGCCTACAAATAAAAAATAAATGAAAAATTAAAGAGACAAAAAAAAAAAAAAAAGGAAGGAAGGAAGGAAAGGAACAGAATGTTAACTCAGAAACAATGATGGAAAAGCTAAGCACCAGGTCACTGTCCACCATAAGGCCATCTATACCCATCCATGGGCACCTGATGCACAATGTGGCTGAAAACTGTCCAGAAAAATATTGACTCTCTCACTAGCTGCCTCAGGGAAATCAAACCAAACTGTGAGGTGGGATCCATTCCTAACTCTATGTTGAGTCTTTTCCAGGCTCTAAAAATAATTTTCCATATAGCTCAACATTTTGCATGTTTCCTTCCCCAAATGGCCGGCCAAGTTTTCACTACTGTAATCTTCACAGTATTTTTCTGCTTCTTTCCAATTCGAAGGAATATTTTCATTTAAACTCTTATGTTGTTTGGGTTTGTTTTTAACTATTTGAAAGACATATAAATACATGACTGTCTAAACTGCTAGCAGCCCCTGAAGCTCCTGAGTTACAAGAAACCATTCAAGTTAATGGTTGAGCAAACATGCTATCACCAGGTAATCATATGATCATCTGACCTGCAATGTAACTTTTCCCCTGTGTCTAAGATAAAATGACCAATTAGCAACAAACTGTGCTAACTTCTCAGAGACCCTTCCAATCAAGTTGCTTCCTACTTCTCTTGTTCTCTTCAACGCAAGCAGCATGATCTGTTAATATGTTAGTCTAGTCTTTCTCTATCAGCAAATAAATCCTTGAGTGCAGGGACTGTCCAGCTCACTATAGCACAAGGTCAGCAGGACCCGGCACACAAGACGTACTCTAAGAAGCTGCTGACCAGCTGCCACTGTTAACCCATCTGTTAAACCTTTTCCAAGCACCTTTAAAATGATCAGAAATGTCCTGAAAGAAGCAAATGAACATTCTAAAGACGAACATTTTGTTACTGATGCTAAATATCATGACATTCCTGTACACGTTGTCAAGTAGAACCTATCATCATCTTCATGAACCACCACATAGTAATGCATAATATAATGCATATATATAATACATAATATGATGCATAGTAACGCATAGTATGGAAACCACAAGCTACCATAGACACAATATGTTCTCTCATAACACCATGAATCTGCTCCAACATCTGAGCTGTGGTATTAAGAGCAAGACTCACCGTTGGGAAACTGTGCAGATGCAAATCTTGTCAACAAAATACCGGCTCCTTCAATTAATGCTAGAAGAATGCCACCCATGGCAGCTGATCCTACCATGGCCACTGGTCCATCTAAAAACAGTAACGACAAAGAGATTCTTCAGTAGCAAACCATGGTTACTGCTTGCCTCATTCCCAGACTCTTTCTCATTGTTCAAGATCTGACAAACTATGTCCCACAGGTCAAATACAGTCCACTGGCCACTTCTGTATAGGAAGCTTTACTGGAACAGCCCGGCTCCTCCACTTCAATGTCATTCTGTGGTTGCAATGGAAACCACATAGCCCACAGAGGCTAAAATATTTACTAATATGCACTATCTGGCCCTTTACAGAAAACATGTGCAAATCCTAGGTCTAAACCACTAAGTCCAAAGGAATTCTGGGTTACTCCCTGACCCAATGATCCAGAGATGGTTTTAACTTCTTGATTTCTCACAACCTTACATGGCGGGTCCTGATTCCAGAGCACAGATCAGGAAACAGAGACTGGTAAACCTCCAGTCACCAGGTTAGGAAATCTAAGAACTGGGACCCAAGTACTGCTGATTGCTGTAATGTGCAACTGGAAATACCACACTCTCTCATTCTCACACATTCCAACCAAGAGATACTCTGACTTTTCCAAATGGCCATATATAGTCATGTTCCACTAAATCACGTAGTGCTTGGCTGTACGTCTCACAGAGGATGCCTAAGACAGATGAGGCCTCCCCGAAAGCCTGGCCTCTCCAGGTGTGTGTGCAATAGTCCCTTACTTCTCGCTGCTAGGATGGCTCCTGTCAGGGCGCCACTCGTGATGGAGTTCCACGGGTCTTCTTTTCCTCGGACCTGAACCATACTGCAGTCAATCATGGAAAACAGACCTCCCCAAACGGCAAAGCTTCCTATTCGGAAACAAACCAAAAACTACAAATTCAAACTTCATTTCTTCATCCTATATTTAAATATACGTTTAAATAACACTGACTGTATTCTCAAAACGGGACAAGCACAGTAGCGCAGTAGATAAAGCTACCACCTCTGATGTTGGCATTCCAGATGGGCACTGGTTGAGTCCCAGCTGCTCCAGTTCCAATCCAGCTCCCTGTTAATGGCCTAGGAAAAGCAGTTAAGGCCTCTGACATTCACACAGGAACCCCACGAAGTTCCTGGTTACTGGCTTTGCCTAACCCTTCTCTCTGGTACATCTCTCTCTCTCTCTCTCAAGATTTCTTTACTTTTATTGGAAAATCAGATTCACAAAGTAAATGAGAGACAGAGAAAAATTACCATCCACTGATTCACTCCAGAAGTAGCCACAACTGTCAATGTTGAGTCAATCTGAAGCCAGGAGCCAGGAGCTTCCTCCGGGTCTCCCATGTGGGTGCAGGGTCCCAAAGCTTTGGGCCATCCTCTACTGCTTTCCCAGGCCACAAACAGGAAGCTGGATGGAAAGTAGAGCAGCCAGGATACACATCAGCACCCATATGGGATCCCAGGCATGCAGGGCAAGGACTTTAGTCACTAGGTTACCATGCTGGATCCTAGGACATCTTTTTAAAAAAATTAATTTTAGGTCCCAGGGTATTGGCTCAATAGCTAAATCCTTGCCTTGCACACTGTCTTTCTCCTGGACAAGGGCAGAAAAAAAACAAAATAAACAAACAAAAAAAACACAAAAACAACACTGAGTCCCCAAAGGATGACAGCAGACTATCAAATGCAGGACTATAGTCAACTCTCCAAACAAAACATACACAAAGAACCTCCAGGGATATCAAGTTGTGATAAGCTGTCAAACCAAACAAAAATCACTAACAGGAATAATTTTAGAAAGAAGAAAAACGCTGCTCCATCTTAAATGAACAGAGACTCATCCAGGAGTCCAAATGGGAAAAGTCCTGCTCACCTCCCAATTGTGGAGCTCTGGTTTTAATGGCTGTCAGACTCCCTCGCAGTCTGTGATTCACTCCCTATTAAAAAAAAAAAGGAAACAACTGGAAATATATTAGAAGTTTAACAGACAGTGTCACCAACAACATCATCAAACCCAGGTTTCAAGTAATACCAAAATAAAAACTTACCACTGGAGAATTGCGAAAACCTTTGATGGCCTGAAAGATGCCACCACCTATGGTTCCCATTGTAAAGGCCCCACCGCAGTCATCCACAATTCGCCATGGGCTACGAACATGGGAGAAAAAAAAGACGACTACTTATTCACAAACCACAGGACCTTGTTCACTAACACAGAAGAATGCAACAGATTCCACCAACGAAGAGCACATTGCAACCCAGGAGCATCTGGCCTAAGAAACAAAGGACTGTGAGTATGTCCGTGTTTGTTCAGCCCCAAGCCACCCAATCTGGAAGGAATAAAATTAATATTAACCTTCTACTTTCTCATTTTCTTTCTTTCAAGATTTATTTATTATTTTTTTTTTATTGGAAAGGCAGATATACAAAGAGGAGGAGAGACAGAAAGGAAGATCTTCAATCCAATGATTCACTCCCCAAGTGACTGCAACGGTCTGAGCTGAGCTGATTCCAAGCCAGGAGCCTGGAGCTTCTTCCAGATCTCCCACATGGGTACAAGGTCTTAAGGTTCTGGGCCATATTCGACTGCTTTCCCAGGCCACAAGCAGGGAGCTGGATTATCCTTCTACTCTTAACAGCACTTTATTTGCTCATTTTAACAACTATTGTGCTTGTGGAAAAGTCGGGCACTATGCAACAGCAAAAAACATAGAAGCAGTAAGCTCTTTTGCAGCAGTGGTAAATTTAAAAACTGGGACTTAGGAAGAGTCAAAAGCTATAGATACAGGTTAATTTCCAAAAATCCTCAAAGTTTGTAATAATTTCCAGGTATAATTGCAGTATTCATGTCTATTTCTGAAAAAAGATGGACTCCCAATGAAAATGTAAAATATAACTTGGCAATAGGATGCTAGACTTTGCACAACTGTCTAACCTACAATGTCATAATATACTTAAATGGCAGAATGATAGACTTGTTACTGAAGAACTATACTATTGTTATGCTATGGAGGAAAACAGCGGTGTGTGTGTGTGGGTGGGGGGGGAATGGGAGGGCGAAAGGGAAATCCCTAAGCCCATGGAACTGTAGCATGAAAAATAAAAAAGACAAAATAACATCCAGGTATAGTGAGTGCATTTAAGCATCTGAATCTTTCATTTGTATCAAATCCATTTAATACGCTGAAACGGCTTTATAACCAGCTTCCAAACACAGTCTACCTTATGTAACACACTAAAACCTTGGAAATTTGATCAGGCTGGAGCTACTACTCTGGGAAAGTGGCCTAAAAGCCAAATTTATTTATTATGCTAAATTTATTTCCAATTCATTATATTTCTTTTATGTAGCTTCAAGAACAAGTGTTATAAAAGTGTTCTATCATGCATATGAAATTCATGAGTGCCAAGAAAGCTACAGGGTTTTCCCAGATTCGCTAATCCTTCAACTGAAAGCAAAATATTCGTTTCCTCTCCTCTTTACATATGTAGAGAAGCTCAGTGATCAACTAATTTGTAAAAATTCATTTACCCAGTAAATAACAGAACCAGTTTAACTAACAACCAGTTCTTCCAAGTCCTGAGCTCTTTCCACTTTACCACACAATCTAAGGGTTTTTCTAAGAAAATTAAGTCTTTAGGATGATTAAATCCACACGAGGTATACTATGGGGCTGAAGGTAAGTAAAACAATAAGGGCTACAGAACCACATGAAGAGGCGGTCAGAGCAAGGATGCTCTGAGCAAGTGCTGTGGCAATTAGATCAAAATGGAGCCGGGACTGTGCCTCAGTGAACGAAGCCAGGCATTGCAGTCCCAGCTGCTATGCTTCAGATCCAGCTCCCTGCTAATGTGCCTGGGAAGGCAGCAGAGGATGGCCAAAAAGCTTGGGCCTCTGTCATTCATGCGGGGAGGGCAGGACCAGGAGGGAACATCTGGCTCAGCCTGACGCCCCCTCCCCACCAACACACCCTGGCTGTTGCAGCCTTTGGGAAAAGATCCAGCAAATGCAAGATTCTCCTCTCTCTCTCTCTCGTTCTATGATGCTATACCTTTAAAATAAATAAATAAATCTTTAAAAAAATTCTTTCTGGTTTTATTTGAAAGGTGGTCTTCTATCTGCCAGCCCACTCCGCAATGGCCAGATCTGAGCTGATCCAAAGCTGAAAACCAGCAGCTTCTTCCCAAGGGGTGCAGGGGCCTAAGGACTTGAGCTGTCCTTCACCGCTTTCCCAGGCCACAAGCAGGGAGCTGGATCAGAAGTGGAGCTACCGGGACATGAACCAGAGCCCACTTGGGATGTCAGCACTTGGAGGCAGAGGATTAGCTTTCTACAATACTATACTGGCCCCAAACAAATAAGTGAGTCTTTTTTGGGGTAAGATTTATTTTAGTTTATTGGAAAGTCAGACATAGAGAGAAGGAGAGATAAAGAGGAAGATCTTCCACCTGCTGATTCACTCTTGGATCTGGAGCCAGTAGCCCAGGGCTTTGGGTCATCCTCCACTGCTTTCCCAGGCCACAAGCAGAAAGCTAGATGGGAAGCAGGGCCACCAAGATTAAAACCAGCACTCATATGGGATTCCGGCTTGTACACGGGGAGGCTACCGTGTCAGGTCCATAAGTGATTCCTTAAAACTAAGTGATTTGGCCCCGGTGCAATAATCTAGTGGCTAAAGTTCTAGCCTTGCACATCCTGGAATCCCATATAAGTGCTAGTTCTAATCCTGGTAGCCCCACTTGAGCTCCCTGTTAGTGGCCTAGGAAAGCAGTTGAGGACAGCCCAAAGCCTTGGAACCCTGCACCTGTGTGGGAGACCCAGAGGAGGCTCCTGGGTCTGGATCGGCGCAGCTCCAGTTGCAGACAATGGACAGAAGATCTTCTTCTCTGTTTCTCCTTCTCTCTGTATAGACTTTCCAATAGCAATAAAATAAATCTAGGACCCGGCATGATAGCCTAGCAAATAAAGTCTTCGCTTTGAACGTGCTGGAATCCTATATGGGTGCTGGTTCTAATCCCAGCGGCCCAACTTCCCATCCAGCAACCTGCCTGTGGCTTGGGAAAGCAGTCAAGGACGGCCCAAAGCCTTGAAATCCTGCAACCGCATTGGAGACTCGAAAGAAGCTCCTTATTTCTGGCTTCAGATTGGCACAGCTCCAGCCATTGTGGCCGCTTGGGGAGTGAATCAATGGATGGAAGATCTTCCTCTCTGTCTCTCCTCCTCTCTGTATATGTGACTTTGCAATAAAATAAATAAATCTTTAAAAACATAAATTAAATAAATCTTAACAACAACAACAAAGAAGACAGCCTGGTGTGGTGGCCTAGCAGCTAAAGCCCTTGCCTTGAATCCGCTGGAATCCCATATGGGCGCCGGTTCTAATCCCAGCAGTTCCACTTCCCATCCAGCTCCCTGCTTGAGGACTGGGAAAGCAGTCGAGGATGGCCCAAGGCCTTGGGACCCTGCACCCATGTGGGAGACCTGGAAGAAGTTCCTGGCTCCTGGCTTTGTATCGGCATAGCATCGGCCGTTGCACTCACCTAGGGAGTGAATCATCGGATCTTCCTCTCTGTCTCTCCTCCTCTCTGTATATCTGACTTTCCAATAAATAAATGAATCTTTTAAAAAATAAAATAAGAATTTTAACTTGATAAAATCAAATATTCTTATCTCCCCGCTAAGTCGTGTCCCTGTAGCCCAGCCATTACTGAGAACAATCCAGAAAGAGGCATAGCAGCTGGATACCATGGAAGGTGGTGGGCACAAAATCAGGGACCCGACCTCCTGGGTCCTTGCACAGCTTGAGGTCACTGTGGTTCTAGCTCTCTCACACTAAACACCTAGACCGGGTTTCTCACCTCTGTGACCCCTCAAGCTTGCAGTTGTAAACACCACTGAGACCTCCCACAGCAAGGACACAGTTCTGTAATGACCTACAGATCCCTCAACTACTGAATCCTCAGCCCTTCAGTGCAGAGCGACCGAGCACATCCCACTTTTTCCAAGCAAGGACGGGGGGCGCACTCTACTGGAGCTCCTGACGACTCCTTGGGTGGGACCCATGCTCTGCTCGTCTGCAAACCCTCAGGAACGGCGCTCCCTCCGGGGCCTAGCTCCGCTGCCATAGCCCAGCACTAGGGAGGCCTAAGGACATGTCCACCAAGGTCACCTCGGCGGTCAAAGCGGACTCCTCCTGACCCACTGCTCCCCGCGTCGGGTGGACGCCCCGAGGCCCCGTCCATCCCCGCCGTGCATGCCCCCCACCCGGCCGGGCCCCAGGGGTGCACGCGAGGCCGGCCACCGGCAAGCCGACCGAACGTCCAGAAGCCGGCTGCGGAGCTCGGCACGCACCCTGGGAGCCTGTACAAGAGAGAACGAGGGCCGTGGAAGAGGGCAAAGAAGGCTCACCAGGGCTCCCGGGCGTACTCCTCCATCTTGCCTTAGGCCGCGCGAGTGATGCCGGGCGACCCGGGTGGAGCCTGACCCCGGCGGCGGAAGTGATCCTCACGGTCGGGGCGGGAGCAACGCGGAGGTCTACGAGGATTGGTTCGCCGTCTCCCTCGCAGCCAATGGGAGCAAGAAGGCGTGTGGGCGGGACACGTACGCTCCCTCCCCTCCGGCTTCCGCCCCCTTCCTAGTCTTCCCAGTCTTCCAAGGATGAGGGTTCGATCCCCATGCCGGCGGGGGGAGGGGTGTTGTGGAACTCAGCTACGGAAATCCACCGAAGCTCCTAGTCCTAAGGTGTGTTTCCGCCAGGGTTCCCTGGCCTGTTTATGGACCTCCAATGTCCCTATCTCAGTACTTTTGAGGGCAGCTGTGGTCTTAAGCTCCCTCACGTCCTGGATGGTGGCAACGCCTTAGCGCCTGCACATCAAGGCAAGCTGCTGCCTGGGTTCTTTATCACCACGGAGCCGAACCGTACGCCAGCAGGTGCTCAGTGGGTGTGAACTGCAGCTGCTCGGGCCTTCTGGAGGCTCACGCCGCCGTCGTCTGAGGGATGGCAACTCTAGGGTGTCTGTCCGACCTCAGCTCGAACGTGTGCAGCCCAAAAAAGGACTAAGCGGGCTGGGCCCCCACGGGCTTCTCTGAATGAGCTTCAGTGAAATCCCAGAGAAGAGCTGGTGAAAAAGCTGTCCTCCCTTCTTTAACTTTCAAATTGGCGCCTGTTGAGGCCGGCACTTCGGCTCAACTGGCTAATTAAATACCTCCAAGTGCCTGGATCCCACGTGGGCGCTGCTTCGTGTCCCAGCTGCTCCACTTCCCATCCCTGCTTGTGGCCTGGGAAAGCAGTAGAGGATGGCCGTTCAAAAGAAACTCCTGGTTTCCAGTCTGGCCATTTGTGGGGTAAACCAGCAGATGGAAGATCTTTCTCTGTCTCTTCTCTGTAAATCTGCTTTCCCAATTGGAAAAAAAAAATCTTTAAAAGAGGAAAAAGAAATAGGCTTCTATCATTTAATAAGAAAGGCCGCCTCAAATCCTAGAAGGAGTGAGGCTGCCTCTGGAGGGGTTCAGACCGGTCTCTGGTGCAGATGGGGGAGGTCCAGACGGCCTGTTTGGAACGTGTCACTGTAACTGAGAAGGCCCTGCTGAATTATGCAGGCTGAAGACTGAATGGGGAAAGGAGTAACACAGAACCCACCCGGGGGAAGCCCTCAGCATTGACGCCATGTTCAGTCAGCACCCCAGGCCCGTGGGCATGAATATTTCAGTAACTAGAGATTTGTGCTTTCCAAGGACCAAGGCTGATTGGCCAGGTGTCATCAGGCTCCAGGGAAGCCATCCCTTGGCCTCACTGTCTACGTTTGCACTCATCTCCTTTCCCTTATGCAGCCCTCTGATTCGGCTTCTGAACAGACTTCCATATGGAAGAGTAAGCCCTTGGCTGTGCTCCTAGCTCTTCCTGTCTCCTTGGCAGGCACTGTTGGCTTATACACCTGATCCTTCTGACCTTGTTTTTATTTATTTATTTATGTATTTGAGTAAAAAAAAATCTATTTCCATGAAAAGAAGATAGAGATCTTCCATCTCAGCTACAGGGGTACCAGGCCAAAGCCAGAAGCTGGGAACTCCATCCCGGTGGGTGGCCGGAGCCCAAGAACCTGAGCCATCATCTGCCGCCTCCCAGGATATATGGCAGCAGGAAACTAGAATCAGGAGTATAGCTGCAGCTAGACTCAGAGACTCTGACACGGAGTACAAGTGTCCCAAGTGAGATCTTAACACTGCACCAAACACTCGCCCCCAAACTTGGATTTTTTTTTTTTTTAATTTCATTTTATTTGAAAGGCTGAGAGAGAGAAAGCTCCCAATTGTACTCTGGAATGGGATGCAGGTGCCCTAAGTGTGGGTGGCTCAGGTGACTATGCCACAATTTGTCATGAGTTAATTTCCTTATCTTTTTGGTTTTATTTTTTTGTTTTCAAGATGTATGTATTTATTTGACACTTAGAGTTACACAGAAAAAGTCTTCCATCCACTGTTCCGCTCCCCAAGTGGCTGCACCAGGTGGGGGCTGTGTCATACCAAAGCCAGGAGCTTCATGCTAGTACAGGGGCCCAAGCCCTTGGGCCATCTTTGCTGCCTTCCCAGACACATTAGCAGGGAGCAGCATCAGAAGTGGTAGTAACCAGGACATGAACTGCCAGACAGCAGCTTTACATGCCGCACCACAGAGCCAGCCCCGCCCACTCCCCCCAGTTCATTTCTTTTGACTCAGAAATGAGACATGGTCACAATTCACCAGAGACATAGAGCCAAGAAGAGCTTTATTTAGCTGTGCATTGTGAGGCATAAAGTCACAGGCTTAAGGAGGTAGAGGCCCAGCAGTAGCATTTGGCCCAAGTCCAAAGGTCCAAAACCAGGAATGCCAACAATGGCTGCTCAGTCTGGAGGAAGGAAAAAGGGGCACAGCTCTCCTTTCTTCATCCCTTGTTCTACTCAGGGGCTCAGTGGATTGGCTGCTGCCCCAGAGCATTGGGGAAGTCAGTCTGCTTCACTGCATCCACTGCACCCCTGTTCTCATGCAGAAGCCCTCAGGGGCACTCCCAAAGACAGTGTATAATCTGGCACCCCAAGACCCAGTAGAGTTGACATGTCAATCATTAATCTAGACACAGAAAAGACCAAGTTTCAGAGTTCCCAGAGTGAGAGTCCACTAGCACTATAGTCCCCGGTCCCTGCAGCCCTCTCCCAAAGGACTTCCCTGTTCTGGAAGGCTTTGCCCAAGTGGCCAGCCAGCCTTCTTAGATGTCTCACTCTCAGCTCCCTTTTTAAAAAAATTAATTTATATAATTAACTTCATTTACATGAACTTTTAAAGAAGGTTTGTCTTTATTTGAATGGCAGAGTTGCACAGAGACAAGCAGAGAGAAAGAGAGCTCTCCCATGTTTGGTTCACTTCCCAAATGGCCATAATGATCGAAGTGGGACCAGTCCAAAGCCAGGAGCCAGAAACTTCTTCCAGGTCTCCTATGTGGGTGCTGGAGCCCAATGTCTTGAATCATCCTATGTTGGTTTTCTCAGGCTTTAAGCAGGGAGGTAGATCGCAAGTGGAGTAGCTGGGGTTCAAACTGGCACCCACATAGGATGCTGGCACTGCAGGTGGAGGCTTAGCTTGCTACACCAGGGCCCCAACCTTCAGTTTACTTTTAACTTTTAACAACAAAGAACAGACAGCTGTGGTTGGACAAAGCCTAAGGTTTGTTGGCAAGAGGAGGAAGATGGCCTCTCTCAAAAATATCTACTTCCAAGACTTGCGTTTGGCGTAGAAGATAAGGTTGTTTGGTTAATATTCCTGTGTCTCACATGTGCTAGGATACATTCTTGGCTTTGGCACCTGATGTCAGCTTCCTGCCTTGGTGGACCCAGAGGGGAGTAGCATTGATGGCTCAAGTCACTGTATTGTTGCCACCCATGAGGGAACCCTGGATTAAGTTCCTGGTTCTCCACTTGGACACCGGCCCAACCAACCCTACTTGTTGCACTCATTTGAGGAGTGAACCAGCAGATAGGAAATTTTCTTTTTCTCTCTCAAATTAATAAACAATTTAAAAAAATACATTTCCATTTTGTCCCAGGGTGAAGGAATCTTGTGGAAGAAAAATTAATGATTACCATCATGTTGCCCTATAGAGACTTAGCAACAGCTGAGGGTCTGCGGTGGCCCTTGCTGGAGCAATCGTCAGTGACATAAAGGAGCGACGAGGCAGCAGCGAATATTCTGGGAGAAAAGCCATCGCATGAATGAATACTTTGAGCCAGTGCCTTGCGTGCATGTCAGTGTTCTGAGCCCAGCGTGCGAATGCTGCTAGAGCCCTGTGTGATCCAGGGCCTTGTGGGCGTGGACGTTTTCAGAATCTGCCCCCCTCCTGGCCATCAGTGTGTGCTAATTAGAAATTCTTGGACCCCAGCAGCTGTGCTCCAATGAACCAGAGAATGCCAAGGACAGAAAAGTTCCTCCCACTGGGAGCTTGCCAGCGCTGTAATGGCTTAAACCCACCCAGCCACACCTGGGCTAGGCCTGAGAGAATCAAGTGATGCAGGTGAGTGAGGCTTGCAACACAGCCAGCTCTCAGATCTGGGGTTCCAGGCTGTGATGGGGGCTGATCTGGTGCGCAAAAATTGTTTAGCCTGGCTGGGGATGGAGGGAGAAATAATTTCTCTCTTTTTTATTTTTTTAAAAGATTGATTTATTTTATTTACTTTTTGAAAGGGCAAAGTTAGAAAGACACACACACACACACACACACACACACACACACACACACACACACACCACTCTTCCATTCATTGGTTCACTCTCCAAATGGCTGCAACAACTAGGGCTGGGCCAAGCTGAAGACAAGAGCCAGAAGCTTCTTTTGGTTCTCCACACGGGTGCATTGGCCCAGCAGTTGGGTCATTTTCTTCTGTTTTCCCCAGGTGCTTTAGTGAGGAGCTGGATTAGAACTGGAGTGCCTGGACTCAAACCAGCACCATGTGGAATGCAAGCACCACAAACCGCAGTTTAACCCACTACATTACAGCACTGGCCCCAGAAGTGCTTTCTAGTCTCCCTTTTGCTCTCTTTCACCCACCCCTTGTCTGGACGCTCCCTGCAGGAAGGCATTAGTGTGGCCTGTGTCTGCTTCAGCAACTTTTTTTTTTTAATTAATTTATTTGTATTGCAAAGTCAGATATAAGAGAGGAGGAGAGACAGAGAGGAAGATCTTCCATCCATTGATTCACTCCCCAGGTGGCTGCAATGGACAGAGCTGAACCTAACCAAAGCCAGGAGCCCGGAGCCTCTTCCAGATTTCCCATGTGAGTGTAAGTTCCCAAGGCTTTGGGCCATCCTTGACTGCATTCCCAGGCCACGGGCAGGGAGCTGGATGGGAAACATGGCGGCCAGCATATGAACCTGCGCCCATATGGGATCCTGGTGCATGCAAGGCAAGGACTTTAGCTTGTAGGCTATCGCACCAAGTCCAGCTTCAGTGACTTTCCCTGCAATTTTGCTCATCTCAGGAATCCTGAATCAGGCAGGTGACCTGTTTCTAGACACAAGTTTCTAGAGAAACTTCCAGCATCTTCCAAAAGAAGGAAACCGTGAAAATGTCTTTGTGGGCTCATACACTCTGGCCCCTACCTCTGTGGATCTTTAAATGTACGTGTGTGTGTGTGTGTGTGTGTGTGTGTGTGTGTGTGTGTGTGTGGATGTGTGCATACATGCACTTCCTGCTGAGGCAAAGAGAAAGATGAAGGACTGGCATTATTTCTCAGCCACCACCGGCGATGCTGGCTTTCCTTATGTTAGCGCTGGTTTGAGTCCTGGCTTCTTGCTTCTGATGCAGGTCCCTGCCTAGTGTGTCTGGAAAGGTAGCAGGTGATGGCCCAAATATTTGGGCTCCTGATGGACACGAGGCATACCCAGATGGAGTTCCTGGTGCTGGCTTCAGCCGAGCCTAGGTCACTGTAATCACCTGGGGAGTGAACCAGCAGGTGGAAGATTCTCTTCTTCAGTCTACTTTTCAAATAAATGAAACAAATCTTAAAGAATCAAAAGATGGGAGAAGTAGTGAGGCAGGGAAGAGAGCCTGAGTTAGCAGTGCAGTTGCAGTAACCAATAAACAGGGTCACCTCGGCAGCTGCATGAGTTGATGTACAAAATCTCACTCAGTGTTCCCGGCAATGGACAGAGCAGGTGCCAGGGCTGTCCTGATATCACAGGTGGTGAAACCAGCCTCAGAGAAGAGGGTAGCCGACCAGGGCCACAGGGCTGGCCATGCGATCGCTCCCAGAACCTAGGTTCTTCCAGATCAAACGATAAATGGATCCTGAAAGAGAGCTACTTCCTCTCCTCCTTGCAAGCCCGTTGGCTCGCTGATGCCTTTCGACCCCCGCTGTCCCCACCCAGGCCAGCCCCAGTCAGCACCATTCCTCCTCCTCAGCCTTTACCAAAAGCTGGACCAATGGACGTTAAATGCCATGGTCAGGTTTGAGTCCCAGACGATCCCTGGACTCAGCGAATGCTGATCAAGTGACTGGCTCCCTGGGGCTTAGGATGGACGGAAGCCAGGAAAGATCGAAGCGTCTACCCCGATGCATTACACCCGGGCTTCTAGAAGAGATTTTGTGGCAGGAGATCGGATGTCTCTGTGACTGGCGCGTTGCGGCCGTGACGGATGAGTCGCGGAAAGCCCTTCTGTGAACCACGCCAGACCTGTTGCGACAGTGCCTCTCCCATCCTCCCACAGCTGCCTTTCCCTCTGAAGACAGCACGTCCAGCTCTGGATTCCTACGCGGGAGGCAATCTGCCGGCTCCTCCACAGTGCTCCCTCCCATAGGAGGTCCGCTTGCAGGTGCCCTGCAGAGCAGGAAGGGGAGGAGATCTGAGGGCTGAACCCCCGACCCCAGGCGCTTGGTGTTCGATGAAACTGACAGCTCGATGAGTGTTTCCTGATCTCCAGAGATACTGCTGGTCTTTGCCACACCCCTCACTGGCCCACAGGGACAAGACATTGTTTTCTCTCACTCCTTTCTTCCCCAGCCATCACTCTCCCAGGGGCCAAAGCCGGCTAGAGCTCCGATGCTGTGTATTCAACTTCTCCCATCTGAAGAGAATGGTTAGGTGGGAGAGCTACCACTAGGACTCCTCAGGTTGAACTGCCTCTCCTGGGACTGCTAATGCCTAGGAGGCCCCAAACACAGTAAGGAGTCAAAGGACCACACACTGAACATAACAACACCCAGCCGCGAGGAGAAGTAAAATGAACGCTTGAGCAGGGCATGCCTTAGGCTGGCCACCTCCTTCCCCCTGGAACCTCGTCTGGGCTTTCCTGGCTCTGGCGGCCAGGATCCGCTTCTGACAGCCTCTGCATTTTTGTATCTTTTTCTCATTGCGTGGCCCCCTTGTCTTTAAAAGGCTAAACTGCTCCGTACTAAATTTGGTCACGCTGCGCTCCAAGATTCCCTGGAATGTCCTCAAGTTTCAAACAGCTCTGACAGCGAGGCAGGCCCGCCTCCCGGCATGGAGATTGGTTCCTCCTCACAGGGCCGGACAATGGTCACATCTGATTGGCTAGGGATAGATCAGCTCGAGTCCACCAGCCCTGGGCTACCCGGAGGCTGTGCGTCCAGTGAATGCTTCAGCACCTGAACGGGTAGTAGGGGCAGCGAGCAGCAGTCCTTGACCAGCTGGGGGTTTGCTCCAGGCCCACTCGGTTCATCCCAAACTGTTCACCACACTCCCTTCCCAGCCCACTAGCACCCCATTGCCGCAGGCAAGAGCCGCAGACCATTGTTGCCAAGATGTCTAAGGTAGCCAAGTATCGCCGGCAGGTGAGTGAGGACCCCGACATTGACAGCCTGCTGTCCACGCTGTCCCCCGAGGAAATGGAGGAGCTGGAGAAGGAGCTGGACGTGGTGGACCCCGACGGAAGCATTCCTGTGGGGCTGCGGCAGAGAGATCTGACGGACAAACCATCCACCGGCACCTACAACCGGGAAGCCATGCTCAACTTCTGTGAAAAGGAGACCAAGAAACTCATTCAGAGGGAGATGTCCATGGACGTGAGTGAGCACAAGCTGGGAAGGGGGTGCAGGGAGGAGGGGAGAGAGACCTTGACTCTGAGGCCCAGGGTGCTTTTCCCCTTAGCACATCAAGTCTGGTAGGCAAAAGAGCCACTGCCCTGGAACCACCTGCTGGTCCCTCACCAGGTGGCCCGACCCGCTTCCCTCCAATGGCTGTTTTATCAACAGAGCTCACTGAGGTGTAGGCTCCCAGGCCCCAAAGACTAATCGGGTCCCTTGTGGGGTGGGAGTGGCGAGGTGGGCTGCAAGCAGGCCCTGCCAAGTGGACTTGGTCCTCGTCCCTCCACACCTTGTCTTTCACTTCGTGGCTGCCCTGTTCTGTTGGTTGTGGTGATAGCCAGATGGGCTTCCTGGAGCCAGGCTCTGTGCGCTGAGTCCTGTGCAATTTCCCCAACAGCCTCAGTTTTAGTCCCAGCAAAGGAGGGGGCTGTGGCTGCTATGGTTTGCTGGCATCTTTGGAGGAGGAGCTTTCTGAGGGATCAGCCCTGGAATGATCAGGCTGGAATGAAGCCTTTGGCAGACAGGCCCTTTGCTGGGGGGTGGAGGATCCTCTCACCAGGAAGAGGAGGGGAGGGACCCAGGGCGCTCTCAGCCTCCGCCCAGCCCAGTGTGTGCTTCAGCACAGCACGCTCTCTGTCCTCCTGGGCAGCATAAACCACCTGCAGCTTCCACCCTTGCTTTCCCTGGACCCATGAGACTAGTCTCCAACTGGGGGTAACTTTTCAGGCTGCCTTGTCAAGGGGGAAGAGTGTGTTGCAGCTCACAAAAACTTTTCTGTGAGTTCTCTTCTACACTCATCCCATCTCACACTTCATCCATCACTTGTAAATTCTTGCAACATCAAGTTCGGTCTTGACTCTTCCTTGATTTGATCACTGTGGAAACTAAGGCACTGTCAGCATGTATATCCCCAACAATATAAGAGCCAGAACACTGGCAGCTGGAACTCTTTTGGGACCTGGCTAGGTGCCCCAAGTTGATGTGGAGAAGGTAGACAGAGCCCTGACATGGAGTATAGGGGTGGGAGAGGAGAGAAGCCAAGGAGTGAAGGAGCCACTACTCTGACTCTGTCCCCGCTGCCCTCCTGGACCTATGTTGAAGGCTTCACCAAAAGTGGGGCGGGTAAGAGAAGCCAAGAGTGTCAGGAATTTATTATCCTGCAGGCAAGGTGGTTGCCTCGGAGGCAGCTGCAATAACGATGGATAAATACTAAGACATTTAAGGAAGAAAATGATGGGACTTAGTGCGAGGGCTGGTGCCTCGGGAGAGCCAACCAGATGGCATGGACAGAGCCAATGTGCAGTGTGTGGCACTGGCACCTCCGTCCACCTGCTCTCAGGCCCAAACCCTGCTTTCTGGAGTATGGCCCTCAGTTCCCTCACTGCTTGGCGTGCAGGGGTCTCCAGTGCTCTGCGATATACCCCCTCCCACTGCCGCCGCCATTGTCAGAGACAGGTGTCTAGGACAATGCCATCACTCATAACGCAGGACATCTGGACTTCAGAGGGTGTGAGGGACCCCACACTGCTGGCAGCTATAGTTTATGAGCCTTTTCCCCAGCCAGGGAAAACAGAAGGGGGCAGGAAATGCTCTTCCCCAACCCCACATCCCAGCACCCTTCGTCCTGCCAGGCATGTTTCTGTAGATCCTAAGTACAGAAATGGGTAGGAGTATGCATGTACATGTATGTGGTGTGTGCACACATGAGTGGTCTACATACAAAAGTGTTGTGTGGGCTAGTGTTCCCCCGGTACACTGACTTCTTCCTCTACCCAGTCTAAGGGCGCATGCTGGCAGTTGGGGTGCATTCTGACTCCAGGTAGTTTCTGGAGCACCACTAACCAAACAGTGTGTGGCAATGAACTTGGATGTAAACATAAGAGAACCCTGGCCCAATGCTGTGTCTCACGAGTTACCCAGCCTGGGCTTTAGCTTCCTCTGTCCTGCAGCAGTCCTAACAGGACCACAGGGTTGAAGCGTAAACAGAAGGGACCGCAGGGTGAAGCCCTTCGTGGAGAGCTTAGCCAGTTACAAGCCATAAACGGCAGCTGCGAACGTACAACCCAGGAACTGGGGAAGGGAGCCAGAAGCAAGTCTGGCGCGGCTCCTCCCCCACTCAGCACCCTGTGCCGGCCCGTTTGCCCATCAGCTCAGCTGGGGAACAGTCCCCAAGCAAATACCAGGTATCCGGGAATTGCACCCTCACTCCGCAGGCACGGTGCAGTGGGCCTGGCAGCAGTGCTCGCTCACCAGGGAGGCCTTCCCTGCTCAGTGGGAGCTGGAAGGCAGGTGGTCAGAGCAACCTCAAGCTGCTCAGTTTTTGGACAATGGGCTTTTATTTTAAAAAAAGATTTAGTTGAAAACCACAGTTACAAAGAGAGAAGAGACATAGAACTCTTACATCTGCTGGCTCACTCCCAGAATGGCTGCAATAGCTAGAGCTGGGCCAGATTGAAGCCAGGAGCTTCTTCTGGGGTTCCCATGTAGGTGCAGGGGCCCAAGGACTTGGGACATCTTCTGCTGCTTTCCCGGGTGTATTAGCAGAGGGCTGGATCTGGGCACCCTATGGTATGCTGGCATCATAGGCAGCAGATTTACCAGCTGTGCCACAGCACAGGCCCCATGGAAATGAGCATTTTTGTTCCCACTATACAGATGAGGAAAATCCATCTTAGTGAGGTTGAATAGCTGTCCGAAGGTCACACAGTGGGTCAGTGATCTCCTCAAATTTGGGATCTGTGCTCTCTGCCACACTAGGGTGAAGAAAGGCCAGTCAAGCCAGTCCTTGTCCTAAGGCATATCTGATCCTGTTTAGAGGCATTCGGAAGGCCAGAACGGTGTTGCAGAGCTGTGGCCACTTACTCCTGTGTCATTACAGGGGCATTGATGGAGGGCTGTGCTTCCTACCCTTGTGAACAGGAACAGAGCTCTGAAAGCCAGGTGTGAAGGCTGGCAGGTTAAAACACCCACATCAGAGCACCTTGTTCCAGCTCCCAGCCTCAGCTTTCCTGCTAGTACGGAGCCAGGGAAGTGGTAGTGGTGTGACTGGGTCCCTGCCACCCATGTGGGAGCCTGGCTCCCAGCTTCTGCCTGGGCGCAGCCATCACCATGGTAGGCATTTGGGCAATAAAACAGTAGATGGGAACAGTCAGTCTCTCTCTCTCTCCTCAAATAAATAAATAACCAAGTTTGGCTTAGAAAAAGTTAAGTGCTGACTTAATACTGGATTCTGTTCAGGAATTTTTGGAAATTCCTTTAAGGTGTGATAATGGCATTGCAGATATGCTTTGGAACGTTTATTTTTTAGACATAGATATTGAGGTGTTTAAGGGGAAAACTGTTTGAATGAGGGAACTGATTGAATGAACGGGAGGTGTAGAGCTAAAGCAAGGCTGGTGGTGAGGGGCAGCTGCTGAAGCTGGGTGACACGGTGTCAATGATTCCGTCGTTACTGTTCTCTATGCGCTGGTCTGCGTTTGAGAGGTCTTCAAGCAGTTCACAGAAAATGTGTGTTAGAAAAAACTATGCCTGGGTTTCAAAAGATTTTTTTACACTGAGTTAATTTATCCTTTGATAGTGTTTTCTTTCTAGACATCTTGAATTACCTTTGTTTGTTTTAAATTTGTTGTAATTACTATGCTTTAAAAAAGTAGACAGAGAGGGCCCGGCGCGATGGGCTATAGTCCTTGCCTATGCACCGGGACCCCATATGGGCATTGGTTCTAATCCCGGCAGTTCCACTTCCCGTCCAGTTCCCTGCTTGTGGCCTGGGAAAGCAGTCGAGGATGGCCCAAAGCCTTGGGACCCTGCACCCATGTGGGAGACCTGGAAGAAGTTCCTGGCTCCTGGCTTCGGATCAGCACAGCACCACCGTTGTGGTCACTTGGGGAGTGAATCATCAGATGGAAGATCTTCCTCTCTGTCTCTCCTCTTCTCTGTATATCTGGCTTTGTGATAAAAATTTTAAAAATCTTTAAAAAAAAAAAAAAGCAGACAGAGGAGGCAGATAATTGGCCTAGAGGTCGGTGCTAGTTGGGATACCCATATCTGACGTCTGATACCTGGGTTCAAGTCCCAGCTCTGGCTCCTAACACCAGTGTCCTGCAGGCCTGGCACTGACATTGCAGGCATTTGGAGAGAGAACCAATGAAATAGGAGCTTGCTTTCTCTCTCTCTTTGTGTCAAAATAAGTAATAAAAACGAAAAAGGACAGAAATCAGGCATAGGAGGTAGTCCAAGTTTGGGACTTAGCTCTGGCTTTCCCAGGGGGCAGGACATGTGCTTAAAGATCCTCTCTTGACTATAATGCCAGGGGTGGGAGGGTGGTCTAGTCTGTGACAAGACCTGGGCCTCTTCTTCCTCCATGGGCCATCTGTGCTGTTTGCTCCATCTTTCATGAGTGCTTCACTCTCATCCCCCTCTTCCAGGTCAGCTCCTCTTTCTCCTCCCTGTCTCAGGCATCACTTCCTCCAAGCAATCTTCCCTGCCCTGCTAGCAAGGTTAGGACCCTGAGTGTTCACCCCCACAGACGCCTCTCTGTTCCTACTTGGCTGTGAGTGTCTGCAAGTGCCTGCTTGCTGGACTCTGTGTGATTCTGGAGAGGGAATGCCCCTGCAGGGCTGTGCACATGGTAGGCCTTCAACCTCCATTAAATAGGGTTGAGGCAAGGCCAAGATGAGGGCAGAGCCTCTGGCAGGTGTGTGGCCCACAGCTCCATGAGGCTCCTCTGGCTCATGTTGCAGGAACCAGATCCCAACAGGTCAACTCCTGCATTCTTTCCTTCCCCAGTGAGGAAGAAAGCCTCCAGTCGCACCGCCCCCCACTCCCACCCCTTTCCTTCCTCCTGGTGTTACAGGGTCTGGGGATTAGCACCTGTACCCAGCCAGGGGCCAGGCAGCCGAGCCAGGGGTTGAAGAAGCTCTTTTAGATTCTCCCTAGGGACTTGAGAAATAAACCCTACACCCCTATCACTACAGGCC